GAATTTTATTCATTCCTTAACTAATTATACTAAAGCATTTTGCCTGTAATTATATCTAGGTATAGTATACATTACAATAAAATATTATCTCTACCACATTTTTGGTAGCTTCCTAGCTTGAATTCATACTAATTTAAACTAAAAACTTTTCAAGTTTCTTTTCCATAACACATCAACTACTAATTTTCTTTCAAAAATATTAATATTTCACTATTTTTTCCGAAACTTTTTTAATAGGTAAAGTAACAAGACTTTGACATAAGAGTCCTCGAGTACTCGTCTTCCATCTTCTAACCGATACCAAAGAAATGCATAGTTTTTTTTTTAAATGAGAACGTATAGTGACTCTGAAATATGTGTAACTCCATTAGCTCTGTGGTCTGTTGATTGAGACTGTTCTACAAAATGGGTATAAAGTATAATTTTATTTTAACAGTGACTTGATGTCGGTTGAAAATAGTTATCGATCGATAATGCTGACGAAATCATTCAACTTGATAACAAAAGAAGTACAGATAAATTTATATCATTTCCTTTTTTCAACTAGATCGTCGTCTTCGTTAGATTTTATTTTTGACTTTAATGACAGCAACAGATCACGTGATGTAAAGTACATAAATACACAAATTCAGTCACTCGTTTATAAACTATTCACTCCTTGTTAATTCACATCATATAACTTTTCGAAATAATATTTCACTTGTAAAATGTGTCTACTATCTCAATAATTACCTGTTTTTTTTTCTCCTTCAAGCGGCAGAAATATTCCACTAAACATTTTATAAGATATGTCTAAACATACATATTATAATGTAAAAATAAACAGTGTCATAATACACACAGTGTTATTAAAACATTATTTTTCGTATCAATAAACAGGCATAGCTTACTTATTAATTAACGCAAATACATTCAAACTGCACTATAACATTCACAACTTCGCTCAAAGCCTGTGTGTTCGCGAAACTACCGTATAAAAGAACATACAGAGTATTCTTTTGAACCCTAAATACCTAGTATTTTTATTACTTTATTGCATTGCTAGTTGCATACATTATAATAAGTAGGTATATTGCATGTTAAACTCTAAGAAATGCTATGTCAAATAGGCAAGTAATATTTTACAACCCTATACCAAATAAAAGTGAGTTAACATTTCATTTTCTTTTGTATATTGATACATGGACTGCGTTCAAATAGATATGTAGTAGGTATATACCGGTTAAAAAATGTGCATAGGTAGGTAGGTGCATATCAAAAATAAAATAATTAGTAATGTGTACCTCAGAATAGTTATATAAAACGAAGACCATCTCTTTAGTACAAAAATATATTTAAAACATAATTTAAAATTATTGAAATGTGCAGTCCATTTCATATTTTTTATTTAATATAATATGACGATATAGTGTGAATATTATAGAAAAATATTATTACGTGTTGCATTGCCATTATTCTTACAGCGAACAAACTGAGTACCTTTTTTTTTTTTTTTTTTTTTTTTTTTCCGTGCGGAAATCCCCTCGGATACCACCTGTCGGTGGCATGTCGGACTCGAACCGACTAAAACCGCACGCCTTCGCCGGGTACTAATAGCCGGGGAACCAGGTATACCCTAGAAAGGAAGGCCCTGGTGCCCCGACATACCTCGGGTCATCTACAGACGAGTAGACGACCCCCGCCCCGTGTGGGAACCCCATGTTCCCTGTGCTCCCTGGAAGCGAGCGCGCTTCGCAACGCGCTCGCCGCCACCCCGGCCTGCTTCTGCTAGGGTGACAGATGGCCTCACCTGTCACCCCCAGGCCTGCGCTTATGGAGGACGGAGGTCGTTCTGCGACCTCCGGCGCCTGAGTCGCCTGCGCTGCCTGGCCCGTGCCCGGGCCTGGCGGGCCGGGAGAGTTCTAAACCTCTCCCGGTCCCGCTCCGCCGTCTCCTTCGCGAGCATAACTTGCTCGCAGAAGGAGACGGCAGAGTTCCACGCACTCTCGCTCCGCACGATAGCCGCAATCAGGCTATCGAGCGAGAGAACTCTCACTCCGATGGCCGCCACGAGGTCTCGCCTCTGCTCAACCCACGCCGGGCACTCTGCCAGCGTGTGGAGAGCCGTGTCCACGGTCTGGCCATCGCAGTGGTGGCACTCAGGCGTTGGCTCCTTGCGGATCAGACACAGGTGATCTCCGAAACATCCCTTCCCAGTGATCACCTGCGTCAATCGGTATGAGAGGGTCCCGTGACGCCTCTCGAGCCAATCCTCCATAACGGGTCTTACCGCCGCAATGACGGCGTGCCCGGCGCTCGGTTGCCCGAGTCGTTCCCTCCACTCCCCTATGATGACCTGGCGGAGTTGGGATTTCCGGTCATCGATTTCTCGAATCTCGGGGTATCGACCCAACTCCTGCGCCTCCTTGCGCCACTGATACAGTGCTGCAAGGGCTCTCGCCTCCAGGTCCCACGGTGGAGTTCCGGCCAGGAGACTCGCCGCCTCGAAGGAGATCGTGCGGTACCCCCTTATGATCCTGATGGCCAGCATTCGCTGCGGTCGCCGCAGTATCGCGACGTTGCTGGCCTTCAGGGCCCCCGCCCATACTGGGCACCCGTAAAGGGCCATGGACCGCACAACCCCCGAGTAGAGTCTCCGGCAGGAGTCATCGGGTCCCTTCATGTTGGGCAGCAGCCGCGCCAACGCACGCGCTGCCCCAACCAACTTGGGGACCAGACCTCGGAAATGATATCCGAAGTCCCATCGGCCATCGAGTACGAGCCCCAGATACCTGATCGAGGGCTCGATGCCGATGCGAGTGCCTCCTACCGTGAGGCTAGATCCCTCAGGCGGCTTCCTCCGAAGCCCGTGAAAGAACAGGGCCTCGGACTTGTGCAGAGCCACCTCGAGACCCAGCCGCCGGATACGCTCAACGACTTGGGCAACCCCGGCCGTGGCCCTCAGGGTTGCCTCGTGGTGCGTCTTGCCGCGCGCCGTCACGAGTGTGTCGTCCGCGTAGCACACGACGGCGACACCATCCAAGAAGGCACCACGAAGCACCCAGTCGTAGCCGATGTTCCACAAGAGTGGCCCTAACACCGACCCCTGCGGAACACCGCACGACATTTCACGCCTACCGAGACCGGTCCTACTGGGGTAGACGACGGCTCTCTCCGACAAATATGCCCCGACTATGCGGCGGAGGTAGAGAGGCACTTCGTGATACACGAGCGCCTCCCTGATGCAGCTCCAGGGCATAGTGTTGAACGCGTTGGCGATGTCCAAGGACACCGCCAACACCACTTCGCCCCGGGAGACTGCTTCCTCCGCCAGAGCCTTCACGCGCATGATCGCATCCACGGTGGAGCGCCCCTGACGGAAACCGTACTGGTTGTCCGCCAGATCCGGCCCAACCATCACGAGATGCTTGACGAGGCGCCTTGCAATCACTCTTTCAAAGAGCTTGCACACCTCGTCAAGCAACACTATGGGCCGGTAGGCGGACGGTGAGTCCGCCGGGCGCCCCTCCTTTCGGATGAGGACCAGTTTCCCCGTCCTCCACAATTTTGGAAACTGGCCCCGCTCGAGGCATGCGCTGAAGAACCCTCGCAGTCGGGGCTCGAGAGCCTCGTCGACTAAGGCCAGGACCCACGCTCGGCCAGGAATGCCATCGGGTCCCGGGGCGGTGTTTTTGGCTTTAAGCCGTAACACCGCCGCCCTTAGTTCCACCCCAGTGACCTCAGGCACGTCGTCGTCATAAACTGAGTACCTACTTATGACATACCTACATTATATATTTATACATAATTGCAATACACGATGCGAGTCATATCTACGTTCCTTATACAAGTCTATGTAACGAGAATACCACAACGAACAATTGTTAGTCCTCTTAATTCCAATTAGCAAACTGATGTAGTAAAATTAAAGTATTTTGTGAAATGTACTGTATTTTTCTTTTAATTATGAATTGCCAGGGATTATCGATTAAATAATTTTTTGAGTACAGTCAACAACAGATGACAAGTAAAATATTGTTTTAGATTATAGATTTGTATTTTATTACTGTTAGTAACATTAAATTGTTACAATTGAGCTTTAGTATGAGAGCGAAAGCCTAAAATAAGGTGACAAACCTTATTTTTAAAAGAATCATTGAACTCGAACAGGAGTTTTTTGGTTTTAAATTAAATCAATAATAAAAAGAGAAATAAAGTTACTTACGTTGTTACGAATATTTCAATAGAAGACAAAATACTTTATTTTTACAAGTCAAATATAATAGCCTAATAGATGGATAGGGGAACATTTACGTGATACGTTTGTAATACTGATGCCTCCGCCTGGAATAATGATGTCCCAGACTATAAAAAAATAACGATGTTTAAATAAGATAATTATTTAGTTCGTTGTGGTATTCCATAACAATACTTTTTTATACTTATACACCACATAGAAAGTCCCTGTAAAATGTCTTTTTACCATGAATAAGAGAGCTTTGTTGTGATTTATGTTATACTAGAATGAATTACAAATGTACTGATATATTTATTTTACAAGCTATAATAATTATGTTATAGGTTATTACATTGATATATTGTGCGTACCGCCATGATGTAAAAGAACGATAATTAAAATAACACACTTCATTTTATTCAAATTAACATAAATTAATAATTTAATATGACTTAAAAGTCGATTCAAATCCGTCATTGCATTAAATAAAATAAATTAAAATAATGGTATTTATTTTAGATTACAATGGTCATCAGTAGTCTTAGAAATAAAACAAATTCATTACATTAATAACTTTAAATAATGATTAAAATAATCGCAAATCATTTAATCAAAAATATTATATGTACAGTCGTCATCATAATAAAAGTCATAATAAAAATAATTATGTTACTAAAATATTTCGGTAAGAATAATAATTTAATTTAGCAGTTGTGTCCGTGTCTTAAACTTACTGTTACGTCGAAGCATCTTAGTGCTTCATTGACCTTAAATCTTCATCCAACTACCTTCCGGAGAATATGCTGATTGAGTTTGATGCTGTCCGTTTGCGAACAAGTGTTGCTTCGACTGGAAAACAAAACAAAAGTAATTAATGTTTTAAGTTCAAAACTTTTAACGCTCCATTCATTGATATATTTATTGACTGATTGTTTGAAATAAAATTGTCCTATACAAAAGTTATGAAACTACTTTTTTCACTTTCTAGACTTGTACAATGTTTCATTACATTAAGGTTTGTCAGACCATTCTCATCAACAACAGATATTGTAAAGACCTTCGACTTATGTGTGTCAACCGCAATACGTCAATGGAACTTTGCTAGTTAGATGATAACACTCTGTATTACTACAGAGCGACACAACAATTTGCTGCGAGCAACAACGTGATTAGACTGGCAAGTAGTACTGCATCATAAATTATTCTCCTAGTAAGATATTACATTGCGTTAATGTATATCGATTTACAGAGACTTAGTTCAAGTTGATAGTCTAGGTATTTTGCTATCTACAGCTTGTTGAAGTATTATATTATCCTTTCGCTAAGAAAGATGATTTGTTCTCATTAGTTCGATCGTCCAACTAGTGAGATTTTTTTTCTCATTAGTTCCGAGTGTCGAACTAGTGAGAATTAAAAATCTCTCGCTAGTTCTGCATTTAATTCGGAATAAAACATAAATCAAAATAACATACATTAAAAAAAAAAGTTTATTCATTGAAAATCAAATCACATCCTTTATCAAACACATAATTAAAAAACTATTCTGTGTTGCTTATCTCAACAAGCTTAACCAGAAAATTATGTGTAATAAATGATCATTAGTCAAAGATCATATTGGAAACGTCAAAATTACAAATATACCTACATAATAAGAATCTCAGAAAAAAACAATCTTTATTTTATTTTATGTTTCATTCCAAATTAAATGCAGTAGGACTAGTAAGACATTTTTAATTCTCACTAGATCGACCGTTGAACTAATGAGAAAAAATATTCACACTAGTTCAACGATCGAACTAATGAGAACAAATCAGATAGACTATACCCCCAGTATATAACGCAGGAAGGAATTGCGCTCCGGTAACTTACCTGACTCACTCGGTGAGAAGCAATGAAACATAGCCTTCCTACTATGATGGTTAACGAGAAATTTCATTTGCTACAAATACTTACTGGTAGAGTCTTGAGGTGTGAGCGGTCTCTTGATCGTCTGCTGTAAGACCGCGAGCCATCCGTCACGATCTTCGTGTGTGGTGGCTGCGAAGCAGTACGTCCTGTCAGGAGTCACTAACTGGAAGGGGAACCGAGCGTCTTTACAACCGTTGCCTGTGTTCGATACTTTGATGCAGTACCCGTTCGATTCGTGCCCTGGAAATTATTTATGTATATAAATGTAAAGGTTTATGCTTCAGAGTAGTTCACAAATGATAATAATAAACACTGAATGAATTTATTATTATGTCCGTTTGGTGATGGTGTCCGTGTGGTGACGGATTAAGAATGCAGAGTGTCACCACCCCTATTCATCCCGAGGGTGTCGTAAGAGGCGACTAAGGGAGCAAACTACGCTGGACAACAGCACTGCAAAGAGAAGGAAAACTTGACGCAAACCCTTTTTTTTTTTTTTTTTTTTTTTTTTTTAACGTGTGGAAATCCCCTCGGACCGTCACCCCTCCGGGGTTTGCGGCGGGGTGGTGTGTCGGACTCGGACCGACTAAAACCACACGGTGTGCCACTCTGCGCCTGTAACAGGAGGGATCCGGGAACAGCTGTTGTTAAGACATCCGGACCCCTCCTAGCGCCAGCCCGCTCCTGGTGCGGGCTCCGTCTCAATGTAGATGTTCCTCTCTTTAGGCGACGTCCGGCACACGCGGACGCCGCCCCCTCGCGGCTGGCCAACTAATGCGGGTGGAGGGGAAACCCACCCCGTCCACCCGCGGCCACACTCAGGGCGGCATGAGGCTGTGGTAGGCGGGCCTCCGCCGCCCGGTTCGCCGGCGGCGGATCGGGTCCGAGTGGAGGTCGTCCTCCCGGGCCCTCTCCGCCGCCTCCTTCCGCGAGATTACTACCTCGCAGAAGGTTGCGACCGCGGTAAAACAACTGTCGCTACCGGCCATGGAGCGTACTACGGCCGGTAGCGAGAAATCCACTCCGATGACTGCAGTGAGGGCCCGGCGCTGCGCCGCCCATGCGGGGCAGACCGCCAGCGTGTGCTGGGCCGAGTCCTCACTGCAGTCGCAGTGGTGGCAGGCGGGACTCAGTTCCCTCCTAGCGACCGTGTGCAGGTACTTTCCGAAGCAACCGTGCCCGGAAAGCACCTGCGTCAGTCGGAAGGAAAGGGTCCCGTGCTGCCGCCCTGCCCACTCGGCGATGACCGGCTGAAGAGCCTCCACGGCGGCGAAGCCAGCGCGTGGAGTCTCCAGCCGGAACGACCAACGAGCCATCGTGGCTCGGCGAGCGGCTTCGCGCCACTCGCGCACATCCTCGGGCGGAGGGCGAAATCCGCTCTCCGCCCGGGAGTCAGCCACTCGCCGATAAACTTCGGCGAGCACTTCCGCCTCCAAATCCCACGGGGGAGTTCCGGCCAACGCGCATGCCACCTCCGTAGAAACGGTGCGGTAACCGCGTATGGCTCTGACCGCCATTACCCTCTGAGGGCGCCAGAGGCGTACCCTATTCTGGGCGGTCAGAGCCGCCGCCCACACCGGTGCACCGTACAGTGCCATTGACCGGACAACCCCCGTGTACAGCCGTCTTGTCGCGACGCTGGGTCCACCCATATTGGGCAAAAGTCGCCCTAGGGCAGACGCAGCGCCGACCAGCTTTGGAGCAAGCTGTCGGAAGTGCTCGTCGAAGAGCCACCTCCCGTCGAGGATCAGGCCCAGATATTTCATCTGGGCCCGAACCGGTACGAGGACCGAGTTGACCACGATTGAGGCGCCAGGGGGTGGACCACGACGGGGCCCATGAAATAACAGGGCCTCCGTCTTATCTAGGGCCACCCGTAAGCCCAGCGCCTCAATGCGCCCGACCACCAGGGAGACTCCCCCTGTGGCCAGGCGCGCCGCCTCTTGGAAGTTTGCCCCCCGGGCTGTCACCAGTGTATCGTCTGCGTAACAGATTACACCCAGCCCGGGGGGGAAATCGGCGCGAAGGGCCCAGTCGTACCCTATGTTCCACAAGAGGGGTCCAAGAACAGACCCCTGTGGAACACCGCACGACATGGGCCGACTCCTCAAATTACCTTCTCGGTCCTCGTACACGACGGTACGCTCCTCTAAATAGTCTGCCACCAGCCGCCTCAGGTACTTTGGCACCCCATGATAGTGGAGTGCTTCCCTGATGCAGCTGAATGGCAGACTATTGAATGCGTTGGCGATGTCCAATGACACCGCCAACAGCACGCCGCCACAGCTCACGGCCTCTTCGGTCACGGCCCTCAGGCGCAACACACGTCCGACAGATCGGGGCCCACCTCGCAGAGGTGCCGGACGATGCGGGCAGAAAGAACCCTCTCAAACAATTTGCCCGCCTCGTCCAGCAGCACGATGGGCCTATAGGCCGCGACCGAATCAGCAGGCCGTCCCGGTTTCCTCAATAGGACCAGCTTCCCGCTCTTCCAGCACTCAGGGAAGCGTCCCGACGCCAAGCTAGCGTCGAACACCTCCCCGAGGCGGTCTGCCAAGTGGTTGAGGGCCAGGGCCAGCACTCGGGCCGGTACCCCGTCTGGCCCAGGGGCGGTGTTCTTGAAACCCTATACCAACCCGTCTGGCCAGCGTGGTATAGTGGACCAAAACCTCCTTTCTAAGGAGAGGCCTATGTCCAGCAGTGGACTACTAAAGGCTGTTGATATGATGTGATGTGAATTTATTAGAAGTCATCATCAGCTCCATTATACACTCACTCCTGTGACGAGCCTGTTGGTTTAGTGATTAGTGACCCCGACTACTAAACCGTAGGTTTTGGGTTCAATTACTATTGGGAGAAGTAGTGTGTGATGAGCACGGTCATTTGTTCTGTGTCTGGGTGTAATTTATTGATACGCCTGTCTACCCCTTTGGTGGTAAAATAATAATGTACCTCACACATCTCACACACGGCCGTCTAATCCCAAACTAGGCAGAGCCTGTGCTATGGTAACCAGACTGCTGATAAACATGTTTTTAAATACATACATTAATATGTAAAAAACCGAACGAACGAACGAGAACGAGAACGAGGTCCGATTGTGGTGTGGAAGGAAATGCAACCTGGAGTAAGTGGAGCTGGGCGCAACGGATTGCAGTATACCTGTAATAGGAAATAATATTAACACTAGTCGGTCACCGCCTTCTAGGAGTCGCAGCGTGATATTAAAGAACGTATCGTCTCTCAGGAATCTTCGAATGAAAAAAGGTTTTTTACATATTAATGTATGTATTTAAAAACATGTTTATCAGCAGTCTGGTTACCATAGCACAGGCTCTGCCTAGTTTGGGATTAGACGGCCGTGTGTGAGATGTGTGAGGTACATTATTATTTTACCACCAAAGGGGTAGACAGGCGTATCAATAGCCCGCCGAATAAATTTTAGTATACAAAAAGTTTGTCCTTATTATTACCATATTATGTGTAATTTACACATATGTTATTACATACAGACAATAATAGGGATAAGCCTCTTGCTGTCAATCGGACAAACATATTTGTAAATAAACATAAGTAGGTAAATTAAAAACTATATATGGTATGTGGTTAGGTAGAGCGGGGAATTCAGTAGACAGTAAAGCTGATCGCTGACGAGTCTTAAGGAGTACTCCCAAGCTTACAACTGGGTCGTAGGTCCTAGTTACCGTCGCGGTATTCCCCCATCTATCAAATGGACCCGGCTATTGAAATAGTTAGACCACGACCCTTAGTAAAGACCCGTAGTCCAACTAGTTGAACAAGCAGCTGGACCACTGCCCCGTTGAGTCATCTTATATAGTCATCAGTAAGTATAGTTCTTTGTTATAGGTGGATAGATGGTCGGACTTTCGTAGCGAAAACTCATCCGTGGACGTAGAAATACTTTTCGCTGTGAATTTATTTATAAAAAAGGAGCTTTAATTGCAATAAACTCATCTTAACAAAAATATTAGCTAACACACAATTTCTATATAAAAGATTTTAACAGCTCATAATAACTTACCAACAAAGATTTCTCCTTTAGGATACGCATCCAAAGGCTCATCATGATACATCAGCTTCCTGTTATCCAACGTGAACCATCTACGTCGATGGGCATCTGAAGGTCTCGGTCCTGTCTTCCAGAGCCAGCCTTCACGAGTGAAGTCTTTAGGAAGACGGAGAACGAGGTCCGATTGTGGTGTGGAAGGAAATGCAACCTGGAGTAAGTGGAGCTGGGCGCAACGGATTGCAGTATACCTGTAATAGGAAATAATATTAACACTAGTCGGTCACCGCCTTCTAGGAGTCGCAGCGTGATATTAAAGAACGTATCGTCTCTCAGGAATCTTCGAATGAAAAAAGGTTTTTTCAAATACGAGTACGAAGATATCGAGTTTAACCAAAGTGCACCACACCACCACACCAACAGCCTGTAATAGTCCACTGCTGGACATAAGCCTCTCCTGAGAAAGGAGGTTTAAAGTAGTTCGTATTCTTAATCCGTGCAAAGTCTCATTATTCTTCGATCAAATATAATCGAACTATGCATTAGTCTTATTCAGATTCACAATCATACTACAAACTACTTGAAGAAGGAATTATTTTAATTGCGATAAATTTTAATTGATAAACAAATGCGACAATGTAGAATTTTAATTTATAAAATTTAAAATTCTACATTGTCGCATTTGTTCTTACTTAATAGTATTTTTTTATTTTATCCTCTAAAATTTATATCGACATATATGCTAGTTGGGCTAGTCATTTCTGTCTCACTAAGTATAGTAGTGATGTCAGGGATTGTTTTGAACATTTAATTATATGTGAGGAAAATCTTACAAGACCACTTACATTTAATTTCAACTAGGTACTAAACAACATAACCATGAATCATAACAAAACAAAATAACTAAAGAATGTCCTTGGACTTTCTTACTTGATCTTCTTCATAGGTTATACCTAGGATCAGCTTACCAGTTAGTTTAATGACTGATTTTAAACTGACTTATTCCTACTTCAGACCAAAATAACTACAAATTATAATAAATATGTTTGATTTAATGGTACAAAGCAGAGTGTCTGATGTATGTAATTTCCGTTCTTGCCAATACAGATACAGTGTTTTTCCACATCCATATAAACCATTTCATCTAATTATATTATAAATAAATAATAATAACTTGTACAAATAGAACACGTAGTGGTATTATTTTATTTTGAGCATAAGTGCTCCGTTTCCTACACAATAGGTATATACAAAAAGCTAACTAAACATACAAAATACGGGTAATGTTATGTTTAGTTCATTATCATATCGCGATCGTAAAATTTTATACAAATTCCTTAAAAGAATCTCTCAAGGTTTGTGGGACGGATTTCCATATTGTGTTTTTAACTAGGCCTTTTAATTTATTTGTGAACCCGTAGATGTTGATAAGTATGGCATTTAATACGGATTTCTAATCTTTACTTGATATGCGAATGGCAATGAGTGTAGAATGAATAATACGTAGGTCTTCGCTGTTATCAGCAAAATAGTTAGAAAGTAATTAAATTTTTAAAAAAATATTTTGTTGTTGTTGGTTCGCCTAAGCTAACGAATATCTGACTATTTACTTCATTTTTATTTTATTTATCTATTATAACAAAAATTTTTTTTTTTACAATTTGATAACTGTTTGTTTTACTTATATTTTGTTATATTGTAGTTCCTTCTAATAATACTTCTGTGATTTTATACTGTTATTGAAATAGGAAATACTTTAAATCTAAATTTAAAATTAGTTTTTTAACTATAAAAGATTTCAGTTTTTAAATAACACAATACTCGTATTACGCACACATTTCGTAATATTTAACTAACTGTTAAGGCATTCTCGATTCTATTTATCTTGGCTAACTTTTTATTACGTCCAATGTCGAGTTTGTTACAATACCGAACAATATTATTATGTTTGATTCACAGGTAGTTTTTTTTGTTTTTGTAATATTTAGACATTATTAACGGACTTCAAAAAGGTAGACACGCGGTATTAAACTCACTCAAATAATTTTTACTACGATTACAATATAATAATCACATTTAAAAAATCGAAACAATAAAAAATGATAAGGGGATTATAAAGCTATGCAGGTACGAAACACGCCCCACCAGAAAACGCCCATAGTTTTAATAGGATTTTTTGTTTGGTTTTGCTTGCGCTTTCCTTAAATAAGTAATCATAGATCATAATGAACCCTAACTTAAAATCAAAAGTGAAAAGGTACCCTATGCCTTTTTGTAAAGATGTTATTTCCGAAGGATTGAAAAATAACTTGTATGCGAGTGAAGCCAACTATTTGAATGGTATTATTAGTATTGCAACTAACTGAATTGATTTTTTATTTAACTAATTGAGTGGGTAAACAAGCACCAAACCTGATTATCAAGCAAAAGCAAGCGGTACTTTTTTGTAATTGTAATTATATTTTATACTAACATTAGTATGTAATGTTTAAAACAAATGATTACTAACATAATATGGATTTTTTTCGGAAATAACTTATTATTATTATTAAACTTATACTAGTAACATTCCTTAGTTACACTAAAGCCTTGGAGCACTGATTGAAGCTATGGCATTATTGCCAAAAAAACAGCATTATGCTTGCAGTAAGCTCTGTAATTCTCTGCTCTGTAGCTCTGTAACTAATTACTATTCTCCGTAAGAGTCAGGGCAGTTGTTGTTTCGTTATAAAACTATGGTAATTGCGCTCACCAGTTACTAATAACTTCGGGATCCTCGTGGTATACGTAGATATGCCTGGTGGAACCGTCTTTCATGAAGGTCAGTTGCATGGAGTTCATGTGTCCAATCTTGGCAGGCGCGAACGCAACGTTCAGCTCGGACAGCTTGAGTACACCCTTAGGTTCTTTATGCTCTCTCACGTGGTATCTGTCAAAATAAACAAATATGTTATTTTTGCTCAAGTAAAAACTTTTTTTCAGTAGTGATGTATTTTTTGTTAAAGAACCCCTTTATAGAGACAATAGGAACAAAGTAGTTTTAACATATGTTTAAGTGTAGGAGAGTAAGTAAAACCTTCTATCTCAAATTCCTAAAGGAATGGTGCGACAGTATGCTCTCAGGTATGTATTAAATATCTACTCTGATTTAAATAATATCCATAAGTTCATGAGGAAACTTTTAAGTGTGTCAAAATAATAAGAATAATATTTTCGGACATTGACACAAAACGCCATCTAGTTTCAAACTAAGCAGAGCTTGTAATATGAAAGCTAGATGGACTGAAAATATTTATAATATAGATATCAATCTCCTGAAAGAAACCTGCTTGTTGTTTTAGTATTATTTAAATAAATATCTAATAATCAAGGTATTCCTAAATGTATTCAATATTTAGTTAAACTTAGGAATTACCAAATGATCGAATAATAACATGTTGAGGGACGTGAAATAGTATTTAAGTAACATTTATTAGGTACTAATTTTATTTTATATAACTCAATAAAAATGTTTTAACGAACTGTAAAACACTTTTCGTTGCAAACGTTACAAACTCGAAAATAACTGAAATAAGTTCGAGCGTAAAAAGACTTGAAATAACTTTCATTGCTAATATTTTACCGTAGGAACGACGGTTGTAGGAAGGTTGTAGGTGAAGATCGCACTCTAGTCTCTATGGTACCTTTAGTTGTATGGATATAAATTAACTGAATGAGACGTATCAAATGAAATTATTATTAGCCTGAAAGTAATTACAACAGTTCTGCAGAAAAGTATTAAGTTATTAAGCAAGAACACTGATTAGGAAAAAGTAATTTGAAACTGAAATGACCTTCCTTCTGAATGACAGTATTTGTGTTGTTGTTGAAATAAATTAATATGAAATGATCGATGTGAAGTACAACTTGAAACTACTATCCCTAATAGGCTTTGCTAAAATAATTAATCATATACTTTAGTGGAACCACACTCACGATGTGCTGCATATTCTTTAACCAGCACCTCTCAATCTAAATAGTTTATGACTAACCACAGATAAAAAATATATTTATATGACGTCTTTGGAGAATAGTTGTTGATGTGAATTAAACTTAGGTAGGTGATAAACGAATTCATGGGAATTTTAAAAGTATGTTACGTTATCAATAATATTTATCTACTACACTATCTATAAATTTGATTTTTTTTTTAATTTTCTGTCATTACAGAATCCATAACCTACTAAAATAATCAAATAATAGGCTATCTAGGAGTAATTAAAATGTTATTGGGTTCCTGTTATAGACAAATAAACGTTATTTTTATTTATTTATTAAACTGTCTTTATCTACAACTTATATTTGTTGTTAACATAACCAGTAAGCGATGCTGATATAGTACAATTTAATTTATTTAAACATTACTTAAATAGGGTTCTTTACATGTAAAGGGTATTGTAGCAAATAGGAGCTTAACTTGCTATTTAATCAAACGACGCGACGTAGCGGTGACGTGTGTATAGAGAATGATTGCATTCGGCCGATAAGAACTGATACGAATCTTGTTCCGTCGCGTCGCTGCCGTCATAAGCAGATAAGAGCATACCAAACAAAACACCGCTAAAGGAATTACGATTAAGTCCCATTTATACTGTTAACTATATACCTACGAGTACGTATAGTAAGAATGTAACATTAAAATCGTTTTCTGGGTCTCTAAATTATGGATTAACTAAATACACTATAATAATAGCATCCATACGTGAAGAGACTATTTTGATCGCCAAACTAGTAAATAATGCTATTATTTTGGCGTTTTAGAAAACGATTTTTTTAAAACCTACCTAGAGAACGCCTTTTTTCTACAAATGTGGGATAAGTAATAATTAAAATTTCAATAACTTATATTTCAAAAAAATGTACAGAAGTCTGCTTTTTGGGAATGGTACATTTTTTAGTGTTTTTTTTCGAATAATTTCAGTTCCATTACAAAATCAGCTACTTCAACAAAAACAATTGGTTTGACCTTGCTACTGCTATGGTTAAATATTTGTATAAAGAACACTCATAATGTAAGTACTTATATGTATATCATCTAAAAATGTTTCTTAACAGTTTTGTTAAATAGCACATAACGTTATTAACACAAACATAAATATACATGCCAGTATGAAATAACGTGCTTATAGCAATGATTCTGTTTAAAAAAAGTATAAAATAAATATTACACCGATTATCATATTAATGAAACCATTAAGAAATGAAACTAAAGAATGGGGTCCTTTTAAGGTTCAAATCAATACAAAAACAGAACATGACTATATGCAACGCGGTGCAGATGACATTATAAAGAGAATAATAAATAACAGACCATTGAATTACAGCACATGATAATGACGTATGATGACACCAACATATATGTTTATTACCTAGCCTAGTTTTTCAAACTACCGTAAATTTTTAATGTTGGAATTCCGTTAAAATTCCGCTTTCGTTCTTACCTCAAGGGACCAAAGTTTTTGACGCGGAGGCGACCGATCAACCGATCGAGACAACCAGTTGTACGGCCACAGCCGTCAGTAGCGGGATGATACCTAAGAACCAGTCCGGATATGTTTAAGCTAAATTACTACGACATAATTAGCTTCATTATTTGAAATCACACGTAAAAAAGGTATTCTACGCATCGAATCAATTTAGTTCTATTTCTTTTTTTAAGTTTGAACCGAGTTTTGCCATGATCACGTGATTTGGTTGTAAACGCAAGTAAAACCTCTATAAATGACTTGTTGACTGAGCTCCTCTTATCTAGTTGTTCACTATTTGACAATGTAAACATGGTGCAGGGGGATTACTCACTATTGATTGCAGGAAAAGAATTTTAAAACGTCAGCATGACTATAGTGTATGTTAAATGTAAACAATGTTGTTATAATGTATTTTGTTTTCGTCTATGGTTTTCCTATGTATTACTATAAATACACTTCATGTATTATTATGTTTCCTAAGCTCGAATCCGATTACGTAAATAACTGTACCTAAATGACTGTACACTTGACTGTGTAATTCTATAGTTCTGTTTTTATACAAGTGCAAAATGTATAATATACCTACTTACGACTATATCACCCATAATTGAACATTATTGTATGTACAAAGTATAAAATACTTTAAACATATTCATGTTTGCTAACAACGACGGGACGTCGTCGCGACACAACGAAACATTACCTAACAATACTCGTACAAGGTGAAGGATGTCTTTCATCACAATATCATCGTATAAGTAGTTTATATGTGTAGTCTAAGCATGACATAGTAACTGTCTATTATAATACATGAGCTGTTGACTACGTCAGAGAATTTGTAATCGTAACAAAGCACAATAATGTGTGCCTAAAAAATTAGATCAAAAGTGTCAAAAATATTAGATATAGCTTAGTTACCGTGGCAAACTGTCTAATGCGGTTAATAATTAGGTAGTCAGTCAATATTTATGAAAGGCTTGATATCAAAAAGAGGTGTGGAACTTTTCGTAGTATGTACCTACGTCACAAACTTAGCAACAATTTTTCTACGAAATCTATTTTATCATGATTTCGCCATTTCAAGATAAACACAAAGCGTGCCATCACTGAGTTGGTACATTGTCTTTAACAGTGACAGTTTTATTGTTTTATTTAACTAGTTCAGCACGTTACCAAATAACGTAAAGGATTCGTGTTAAAAAAATATATCAAACTATTATTTCACAATATTGGGCAATTTTAAACTTTGTGTTTATGAAAACGACAAAAAGAACGATCTCTGAGGTCACTCAGTTTTTTAAATTCTTTTTAACCGTGACAGTCTTATTTGATATTTAATACTAGCTTATCATGTTCTCAAAAAACGTATACGGCTTGTCCGAGAATAAAAGATCAAATTATTATTTTACAATATTAGGCAATTTTAAAACTGTGTGGGAAGTAAAAAAGATTCGGTTCCTTTACTTTACGTTTTTGGAACAACTGTCTACCCGTGTCTACCAGTTCTTCATAGCCATTCAATATTATTGTGTGTTTTGCATTTAAATAAACTATAATATTGTTGGTGAATGTTATGAGTGAAGTAGTGATTTGATTAATAATATCTCATGATCACCAGCTACCATTAAATAGTAAAATTAGCATTTTCTAAGTACTAATGATCTATGAATTGTATAGTGAAACGGCTCAATATAGAATGTTATGTACAAGCACATGTACATGTACATGACGAATGAGAAACTACTTGTTATTTACAAATTTAAGTGATCAAGCACACAAACTATTGAAACAAAATCTGATGTGTTGCTTGGTTTTATGAACCACGAGCCAGACATTAGTTACAAAAATACTATTTAGCTTGGTTATACACATAAAGCTTTTTATAAAAAAGGTACTTGATCATATTGACCGCATTCGTCCGATATGTATATTAAAACACACATGTGTTATCGAACATAACATCGAATTCGTCCTTATTCGCCGATAGGGAATGCGAGCGACCAAGGGTTAAGTGTTTCGGTGAATTGGTGGTCGAATGCGGACAACGACCAAATATAATAGTGTCATTATGTTCAGTTAACGATACATTTTGACTCACTTAAGCGTGTCCTCGTTCTCACTTAAGATGAACTTTCTCAATTGATATCGGCTATCTTCTTTGCCTCGCTTCATCAGGAACCCTTCCATAGTTCCTGAGAGATAGCTTTGCCGCTCTGGATGGCAAAATTCTTCACGTTCATATTTCGCACGGATCCACTGTTCAATGAGGACTCTGCAAATAATCAGATAACCATATAATGTACATTATTTTGACTGAAACAATTATTGAGAAAATAATTAAATTCAAATAGGAAGGTAACTTCCGAACTCCCCTGTGACACCCTCTAGCATAGGCATTGATGATGTGGAAAACTTAACGAACGACGTGAAAGTACATTAGTACATTTTCTTCAAATACTCGTGTATTTGAGGAATGATGGTGATTTTTTTTTAATTTTCTTTATTTGGCTATTGAGCGCTTAGGGCTATTTCACAAAAAAATAATCGGGAATGTCTTTTTTCATTGTAGTAACCATGATACTGAGGGCAGGAGAAGCATTTTCTCTGTCAACAGTTCAAGACAACAGATTCAAGTCTGCATTATAAGACAGTTTCAGAACAACAGATTCAAGTCTGCATTATAAGTTTGTCAAAGTTTATGCATTCTAAATTAGTGCCTGATTTAGTATCCTCTATCCTGGGCCTCAATTTTGCTATTTTATGTTAACGTACAAGTCACTGTCATTTAATTGACACGCTATTGAGATACCATTGATTTCGGTCAAAAGATCGGTATTCTACTAACACGTAGTGGCCATGGCTCATTAATAGTGATATTACCAATATTGCATTATCTGGAAAATTAAATTTATCATTTCCTTACAAATTTAAAATGTACCGTTTACAAAGACATCGACGACATAAGTATCAGTGGCAGTTCAGTGACAATTTATCGGGAAGCCATTGGTCTTACATAGTTAGAGAATACGAAAAGTTCTAAACTTTTCCAACGACAGTCTTTTGATACAGTATTTATATAGCAGAATTGAGGCCCTGGATACTTGCTTACTATTCGGGATTCGCCTGGATACTTCCTTATTATTCGGTATACAATCGAACAGCTGGATAGTTGCCGGATATCGTTATATCAAAGGTCCTTATCCTTTTATGTGAGTAAGGCACATGTTCCCGAGTATGAGGAGAGCTGAGTTAAATATTGTTATTTTTTTACAGATAGACTATTTTTTCCTTGAAGAAAATAGTCTTAATAGAAAATTTGGGTTATAGGAATGTGTGTAAGTAGTCCTATATGTGTAGTTTAGTCGAGAACATCTAAAACACTAGATGACTAGGTTTTAACGGATATCGCATTTTGTGATAATTGATATTGTCATAAAGCGAATGTCTGAGCGAGTTACTCAGTAGATTTGTAATACCTTTGCGTTGAAACTACTAGACAAATGTAGATAAAAAAATAATTTAAAAAAATAACTTGTTTTCCAAATAAATTGTTGAACCAAGGAGAATGCAAAAAATAATGATTGTAAAATAGTGTGATAAATTTAAATTATCGGTTAATTATCTACATGAATCGATAAAATTCAATAACAATGAATAATGGATACCGATTATCATGTTATACAAGTCATTTAATAATTACTTTACAAGTGATATTTAATTCCACTTTTAAGGTATTCCTTGAGTGCAAACCACATGACGGTGATGTGACTTTTGATTAGGTTATAACTTTATTATCTACTAGAAAGAATATTGTAGCTTGGCAATCAAAAGGGAGTGGGCGATGATTTTTATTATCGTACTAGCTTTTATCCGCGGCTCCGCCCGTGTGTATGGCGGTTATCGTAATAAAAAGTATCTAATGTTACTCGCTGATAATGTAGCTTTCTATTGGTGAAATAATGTTTAAATTCGGTTTAGTGGTTTAGGCGCGAAAGCGTTACCAACAAACAAACAAATTCACTTTCACATTCATAATATATGTAAGTATGGATTACTAGCGTTTAGTCCACAACTTTAGAGGTGTGCTAGTGTTTAGTTTCCACAACTACTCTATACTTACTGTGGATCATTTTTATTAGGTCTTCTGTAACATGGCGGGACTCTTTCTTCGTATTTGTTCTTGGCTGCGTTGTTGCCCACCTCCTTCATTCTTTGCACCTGCGAGTCCTCCCAGCGATCAAGTTTTAGGTGTTTCACTTTGCTTATGTGTGCTCCCATGCCGCGGTGAATGCTCGCACACCGCATGCAGATAAATATGCCGAGATTGTATGACGCCCAGTCCGGTTCTGCAAAAGATGACGGAGAAAGGTTAAGATTAACATAAATAAATAGGTTCTCAGGGTACTACCATGCTTCGGCCCTAGGCAGCGAAGTAGTGGCCACATATAAAATTATGCTGATCGACCAAATAAATGGGAAGTCACATATAACTTTTTAAGGAGATTGGAAGGATGTGTTGACTAAAGATAAACATTCGATCAAATGCCTATTGTGTTGATAAATTTATTTCATTGTCGGCTCGAAGGTGGCTTGCCAACATTGCATAAATTAAATACACGCGTTACGTTACCCCGTACTATTGTTTTAAGTACATATGTACTCAACTATTGAATGGTATTTTAATCCCGCGATACGATTACGCTACAACAAAATGTTACTACTGCCATAGAGTAAGTTACTATTTTATAGTACTCCGACTCACGTATTAACGCAGACACTACTAGAAATTCAGAGTTCTTTCAAAGAAGTTAAAAGATTGTTAATATTAGTACTTAATGTTATAAAAAATTGGTCAATTAAGATGGGTACACTTTAAAGTTTCGATTGTACGATTTTCATTAATATTCGTCAAGTTGACTTTCTCTGGTATATGGTATATATTCAACAAACTTTCTCTGGTATATTTTCAACAATAATGAAGCAGATCTAATAAGTTTTACAAGTCCAATAAAGACTTATACGCTTTAATTGTATAATTCCTTAAGTCATCGAATAATGTAGACTCTTCTTACTTTTTATTGAAGAGGAAAGTCTGTCTCAGACTCAGTGGGTCTGACATGTAATAAGGAATTTAGAAAGTGTTTCTAAGTATTTATTGAATACTATTTATTTGACGTTTGAACTCGATCGCTTTAGTTCGAGCCGTAATAAATGTGATTTATACGATTATAAAGTACATAAAGCTAAAAATGTTTGCGTCATGCATTGAAAACTAAAATATTACTTGAACATATTTTTGTCGTTATCAAAACCACGGTACTATTATAATACAGTACTCCAACTTCATACAAACGGACGAAACGTGAGCTATACCTACGCGCCTCGATCTCGGGGTGCGCTCGGGGCGCAGACAGTCACGGCTGTGCCGCAGTGTCGAATGGACGGTGTGTTGTTTTTTTAACAATAACCGCGCGATTTTTTCTCTAAAAATCAGTTAATATGCCGAGTAGGAAATATTGTGCTGTTTTTGGATGTATGAATTCGTCAATAACGCATCCAGACATAAGTTTTTTTAAATTACCTAGAAACTCTGAAAGGTAAGACTATAAAATAATTTTACTTACTAGTAGGTACGTACATGTGTGTCTTTTTAATGGATAAGTATTTCCTTTTATCTCACGAAAAAAAAGGTGTTTGGATTAATAAATAAAGCGAATAGAGTAACGGAAAGTTATTGAGACGAGTGAAATAGGTAGTTATATGCGGTTCTGAACATTGATATAATACTTGTGTTGTTTTAACTCAATGGTTCTGAATGAATCATGATACGGTAGGTACCTACCTACTTACGCTTGTGTTTAAACTTCGGTGCATAATTCGGTGTTTGCATAATTCAAAGTAAAGACGTTGTATTTTATTATTAATAATATTTGTTTATTATCTGTGTGTATGAATAACACTAGATTTTTTTTTTACCGTCTGTGTGTCATTAGATAGTTTTCGAAATTTTCACAAAGTGTTTCTGCTGCTACTATAACAACATATACCACTAAAAACTGGTTTTATTTTCTCGGTATTAACAACAACAGCTAGACTAATGTATAATATTTAGATGTTTGAGGGTTGTGATTTTAAAACATTCGTAGTCAGCTGTTCAGCTTTTTAATAATTAATTAATTTTTTAGGTACCTAATTTATAGAGACGTTAATAAGCTGAGATAAAAAGTTACTTACTCGTCAGCTGTTTCTTGCATTCTAATTGAGTAGGTAGGTAGGTGTTGGAGTTTCTAAGGATTGGAGTTTTGTAACGCGTAAGGAGAAAGCACATTTTTTTTATTCTAAAGAAGGATTTTTAAGCTATTGAATCAAGAAATTCTCAAAACCTGACGAAAAATACCTGTCACCACGCAGATTTTTTTCTTTAAAAAAAAAAATGTTATGCAATAGCTTTACCGCGGCAGTCTCCGAGAGTGCCACATGTATTTTTTTTTCAGACATCTTCAATGGTTGCAACTGATCCGGCGAGATGATTTGGAAAACAAACCTAACTTTAGTTCCTACCAAGTTTGTGAAAAACATTTTAATTTGGAGGATGTATTACATTCATCAAATAGAAAACTTTTAAAAAAGAATGCCCTAAAATTGTTGATGCTGCCAAGCTAAGCTAGTACTGATCCAGGAGTCCCCCTTAAAGAAGATAAACAAACCCAAACTGCTCCGTTGGTAGGAAATGAAAATAGTACACAGACTGAAAATGCAACAAATAAAATCTTTGCTCAAACCTCAACGAGTCTCTCTAGCAACACTCCAAGAAAAAGAAAATTGAAACTTGAACTCCTCCAAAAAAAAATAAAATAATTAAATCTATCAATCAAAAAACAACACGCATTTTTATTGAACACTTCCTATTCAATATACAAAGTATTTCATTTATTTATATAAAAAGGATATTTACAATCACAAATCTAAATAGAAACAGAAAGTAGGCAAATATAATTAAAATACTGGCAACGGGCAGCCCTAACGCATGTTTACGTACCGCGCGGCAGTAGGCATTTATTTCTATCATGCGGCCGAGTTACAATACTGTATTATAATTATACCGTGTCAAAACATTATACGTAGGTGCCGATACGATAAGAGTGCTGCAAATCGTCACACTACTATGACGTAGAGTGTATGTACATAACTGATCAACGTCATAAGCGAAAATTCGAATTTACATCTAGGTATTTTTCCAATAACCAGGATATTAGTATTTTGTTCATCATCGTTAGTTAAGTACATATGTTTTGTATTTGTGCATGTGTTTCATGCAGTATATGAATGGATTAAGAATACCTCTTTCTGTGAACTGTTTGTTACTACTAAAAACGTACTTCGCGATGGTCGAACTTAAAATAGAACTGGGTCCCCGCTAAGTTGGCCGATGTGCAGTCTATCAAACTTAAATTCTAATTGTTGGTTGCTGAAAAGATTTATAATAGATAGTGTTTTCAATTTTTTACGTTTCACACAACATCCGTGTTTATAAGCATACACAACACACCGACACGACGTCACAGTGCCTCACGCAAACAGTCGCATTTGGCCTCTGCCATTCGTAAATAACAAAACATCACGTCACGAGACTAGGGTAGGTACCTGCTACATGCCAATTTCCTTTTCAATTGCTATTTTAACCTAACATAAGAACTGGCTAAATCGTCGTTTACGTCGTTGAAACATAATGTAATTAACCGTTATGACTTATAAAGAATCTAGGCTAAGACTATAAAAACCCTTAAGAAATTATCACCTTAGTTAGATTTATTTAGGTACATTTTAAGTTAAACAGCGTTGCACTATTTTTAGAGATTTTGTTGCTCTTCCTTTGTTTGCAAAATAATCTGCTTTTTATTTGAAGATCAAATAAAAAAAATCAAGAGAAATCACCATTCATTCTTAAGAAAGTTGGTTCATTAAATTCAACCAATAACTTTATTAAAGAGTTATTTAATGAAGGTTACCAGTGCTTGTTTATTATTATTCTCACCGTGATATCGCCATTGTATATAATCAACCTGTTTGTAAAAAATACTATTAAAAAGTTAATTTTAAAAAACATTAAAATGGAAGAAACAATGTTACCTAAATAGACGACTGTACTTATGCGAAGCTGGAATGGGAATTTATCCGAATGTACTTAGTATTTACTTTAATCACTGAAGGTTATCGGTTTTTATTACTTTAGTAACAAGTTGATAATTATGCTAAATTTAGCGTAAACTTATTTGCTAAGTAAATTTTTATAATATTTGTTCAGTAATTTTCGTTGAATAACCTTTAACTAAGTAAATAGAAAATATAAAAAATACGCATTTAATCGCATGACCGCCTTGTTGGTATGGTAATCAAGTCACTTTTTACTATCGTGTCAATAGTTCAAAGCGGTATGACTTCATATCTAACGATTGACTAAACTCTTACTTTCGTGGTAGATTTGTACTTTAATAATTATCTTTGAAAACTATCACCACCTTCAATCGTCAACAACATGAAGAGTTGTAATACGCTGTACTCCTCATTCCTGAATTTTCTATCAATAAGGGTGGTATTCATTCGGTGTTAATGACAGAGTTCTGAGGTAAAACCGTAAAAAATACAATCGAATTAAAAACTTCCCCGTTTTATTTTTGAAGTCGGTTAAAAATATTAAAACGAGTACATAAGAACGCATGCAAAAACGCATTTTTTTAGATATAATAAAAAAAACGATTCCTGTTAAAGAAAGAACAGTCATGCAATTAAGAGTGTATTGATAGGCCAACCTTTTTAGGATACCACATTCTCCGGCTTTCAGGTAATTTTGTACCAACGTCAGGAAGAAGCATGAAACAGAACCCTGAGATAACCCTGACCGTCAACAAACAGAAACTATGATTCTTTGAGGCTGCAAGCATGTTTACAACCTGATATTGCCCAGCCGAGTCACTTTTTGACTCGGCTGGGCAATATCAGGTTGTAAACATTTATGGTTTCGACTTTACGCAGACAGCAGATAGCGACAGCTAGGGTAACCTCTCATAAATAAGTTTTCTTCCATTAACTTTTGCACACTAATATGTAATGGCACACCAATTCAGCGAATGAGAACACAGAGACAGAATTTTATTCTCGCCGAGGATTTAGCCGCCAAAAATGGTGCCTAAAATGAAATGTGCCAAACGTATGCTTATAATGGTTGATACCGCATAACCGCTCTAACATGGTGGTGTAACATGGGAAAGATATATGGTGCTTCTGGTGTAACTCCCGCATGGTCACCTTTATAACAGTCTATTCAGCAGCAGACATAGAACACCACCCTGCAGTACTGCTCCAAAAAGCGTTGCTCCTTTTCTTTTAGCACTAACTTTTTGTTCACATTCTAAATAAGCCTCTACGACCTATCTTGTAGCTTATCTTGGAGCTCTCTATTTTTGCACTGATCCAGTGTCTCCTTTAGAACGGGCGCTCTACGTCATTTAAAGGGATGGGTAACCCAGAAATGGTATCTGAAATCTTACATTAGTCGGTTTAGAGTTATGGACAACTCTTAAAGGGGTTTATTTATTATGTATGTGAGTATGAGTAAATTATTGTCGTTTTCCTTTATATACACTGTACTGTAGACGTAGGTTTATAGGCGTGTTTAATGCTCTGGTTTCTTTTTCATATTCTGTGTTTGGGAAATTATAAACTAACAAGACTCACTTATTAGTCTTGTTAGTTTATAAGTTTTTAATTCTTAATAGGTGTTAGTAAAAAAATGAATATTCCCCTTTAGTTTGGACGGTCGGTAATCTATTCCTGACACAAATCTAAAAAAGCATAAATCTACTTCTACCCCTGAAACTGTAAAAACTAAAAGTATAGGCCGCCTTAATGGATTGAAATTGGTGTTTTTTTATTATTTACATGTATCAATTCTGCCGTTACATCTACGAGTATCAAAATAACAATATAACATAAAAGACGAGACTATTGTTATGAGTAAAGCAAAAACATAGTTACTTATTATTTACACTATCATAAAGCAAGAACAACATGTTATAATCTATTTCACTGTGTACTAGGTATAACAGTGTTGTTAGCGAGGAAAACCATAAATCTACCTATTCAGTTCGAATACGTAACATGGATTTGAACCAACGCCATCCAGTAGGTAGGTATCTATCTAGACTGAAGTTAAAATTAGGTCACACTCACACGGGCGCAGATGCTCACATCCTATTTTTTTTTATTAGATTGAATTATACTAGGATGTCATAAGCCCGACATATATGTGTTAATTTATTGTTCCAAACAGGAATGAGAAAGCAAAAAGAGACCCTTATAAGATCACTCTTTCGTCTGTCTGTACGTCTGTTGTTACAGGTAACAACCAATTTGCGCCGGATTTACTAGTACAATTAAGTTGTAATTTGATACACATTATATAGGTAAGGTACATTAATAGGCAAACCAACAAAATATAGGGGTCGCTTGTTATTTATTGTTATAAGTCTCACAGGTACGTATTTTTTATTTATTTAAGTAAAAACATGAAAATTAACGATTCCCTCCGATTTATCTTCGAAACTACTAAGCCAAAAAGTATGAAAAAAATACAGAAAACAGACCTCTACTTCATGATTACAGGAAAACCCACATTTCAAGACTAGAAACTATGGTACTGTAACATGTTAAATCTCACAATATTGCGGACAAACTTACATTTGCAATTCATCATACGAAAGCCTTGCCACGCGAGTTCTACTCGTGCTTGACTGTTTTTTTAATATTAAAAACAGTTGTGTGTTGTTATCCTTAACTTCTTAGAAATTCTAGAAATATACACTTAAAAACCACAGCAAAACGACAAGACAGAGAAAGGTGTGTATGGCAAGGATAACTGAATATTACTCAGATAGTTGCGTACCTACTATCCTACTTCATATGAGTCATACGAGTTAGGTTTACAAATAGGTATTTGTATATTAAGTCTCTACGAAAAACAAATTACGTACCTACTGCTGAACGATTGGGGACCCGAGTCATCGAGGGTGTGTAGTATTGTAATGTGAAAATGTGCAAACACTCAAAGGAATAGACTAGGTACATTGTTATTATTTTGTAGTATCAATAACTAGTGAAAATTAGAGCCTACTCAAACATATACACAACAGATTGTTATCTACACAGTAATAAGATATCAGAAAAGATTTTGAAACATCATATTTAGTTGGTAAACTGTGGTCACATGTAATTAATTTATGTAAGTATGGGATAGATTATGATCACAAACACTCAACCATACTGATGTATCGTTGCTACTGACTTATCTGAATGTTTTTAATCATCGTATCATTGCACTAGTGGGTGATTTGTTTTCATTGAATGCATTTTACGTCGAGGTCACTGAACTTCAAAGCATGGACGCATTTACGCCCCCCGCCTATTCACCACCCCATGAAAATACCACGCACAAGGAAAACACTATCACTAAAATTGTTACGAATCACTAAAATAATAACATACCCGAACTTCCACAATCGGCACAAACATTATTGCCACTTTTCTTTTGCAACTCCTGTAATAATTTCTGGTTATGATCTACCATCGTGGAACTTTTGCATCAATAATGAAGACATACACGCTAGCGTACGTCGCTGTCCGAAAGTCGAACACCTCGAACGAACGCGTTCTTTGCCACTGCGCGAGGGAGCCGAGGGAGCGAGCGAGACTTCGACCGACGCGCGGCGAATCGGTTCAACAAACGCCATTTCGTAGGTAAGGAACGCCATTTCATTCACACACATTCGTGTTCGGTAGGCATGAATGAGATAGAAAGAGATGTCTAGTTTCGGTATATGAATGAAACCAGTGTGTAGTGGATGGTAGTGGATACTCGTAAAATCCGTTTGTGTATGTGTGTGATATCGTAGTAAGTACGTGATGCGATCATGCTACGCGAATACAAGCAGCACCCGTCTGGTGTACCTACATGACAATGTACGTTTCAATACTACGTAGGCATATAGGTAATACGAGTTCGTCTACAGATCGTTCTCACCCTAGTCAATAAGATATCTTATGTAGGTAGGATAGACGAATGTACAAATGTATTTAACGTATTCTACTATTGGGAAACAGGAACCGTTGCAGTCAATGAGATTAAATGTGTCAATTAAAATGCGTTATTTTTTATCACCTATTATTCTGCCGACTTCGATCGCAGACTGACTAAACCGTTGGCATGCACACAATTTCCGGTTGAGTTTTGGTGACTATTTTAGTGCGGTATGGTAATTTCATGCGATGTTATTCAATGTGTAGTAGGTAGGTTATGGTCGTGTCATTGTATTATGCAAAATACACTAATGGTTTATAAGTCTTAATACCACATACTATTACAAATAAGTCATGGTAATGGCAGATAATAGTCGGTAGATACTAATATTAGTCTATCACTAACAAAAATGTAGAACGAGACATGGAAATTATTGCTATTTTTAAATCCTAATCATATAATGAAATGATTGGTTTTAGTCATTGCGATTTCACCTGTAGTGAATTGGTCATAGACAAAGATATTAATGACATCAAAATTTATCAAAATTCTTTTTATCAAAGATTACGACCCTTTTTCTTTTCTTTTATTAGTCACAGGTGTGATTATTTGATTTTTGACAGGGAATTGTGGTTTTATTCCATCTGAAAATCCAATTTGAAATCGTCTCCTGTGGTTTACATCGTGCCGCCGCGTGGTATTTTCATAGGACGGTAAAGAGATAAGGACAAGGGGCTCTTGCACTTGTGTGCATCTTTGTGAGCCGGAGTGTATCTTGAAAAAAAAGAGAGAAAAAAGGTTAAAAGCGCCCTCTGGTATAAATAAATTTTAGAATTGAACATTTCTCAGCGCTTCGCCGTTTCTTTTGTTTAAATAATGCCATGATTAATAGTAATGCTCCTTGATTAGGCTTTTTGAAATAATAACATTGTTTTATAACTTATCATTAGATTAAAACTTTTTTTATTAAATAGGTATCTACACTACCATATATTATATCTGTGCAATAATCCATAGTTAAAAAAGACAATTGTTTTAATTTTATGTGAAAATTAATTAGGCACCTAGTTATAATTATCTATATCTATACAAATAAATAAAATTGGAGTGTCTGTTTGTAATATTAAAATAACCGCTTTTTACTAAATGCATATGTATGTTTACACGGTACATATGCCAAAATAACATTTTTTACAATTTTTGTCTGTCTGTTTGTTGCGGGTAATCTCTGGAACGGTTGGACCGATTTCGACGGGACTTTAACTGGCAGATAGCTGATGACATAATGAGTAATTTAGGCTACTTTTTTTTAAACTAGCTTCGCCCCGCGGCGTTGCCCGCGGTTATAACAACAAACGCGGGTAACACTGCGGGTCTCAGCTAGTAATTAATAAGATTATACGAATGTTTTACTTGTAAGGTCCCTCGAATGTGTTACCATGTTTTACAAACTACGGTATTCTTACATTTTTATATAGTCAATATATTATTCGGTTTTGGCACGTAAATGATACTTTTACTTATTTGTTGTACTGGGATTGCCCTATTATCACTGAAAGGATTCTTGTTGCCAATAAACCTGATATGGTGGTAATAGGCCGATTAGAGTTCCGAGCAATGATTGTTGACATTACTTTTTCACATGACGACAATCTCTCATACTCAAAGCTGAAAAAGATAAACAAGTAAAGTATTTGGTTTTGGCCCATGGATTAATTGCTAAGAGCCTCGACCAAACTACGCAACTTCGAAAAAACTTCGAAAAAACTACGCAGAACAACAGCACTGTAGAGAAAAGGAAACCTATACAAACCCTGTACCAAGCCGTCTGGCCAGCGTGGTATAGTAGGCCAAAACTTCCTTTCTAAGGAGAGGCTCATGTCCAGCAGTGGACTATTAAAGGCTGTTGATAATGCATAATTTTAATCACTCAAGACGCGGCCGCGGGTGTCCCAAATATCCTATAACGGGGGATAGTTTTACGTTCGGTAGTGAAACTCATTACGGAGGATTGGCTCGAGAGGAAAGACGGGACCCCATGACACACGCTGATGCAAAGGATGCTTTAGGGATCACATCCACAAAGAGCCTGCGCCTGTGTACCACCATTGCGATAGCCAGAGAAACGGATGCTTTGGTAACAAGCAGCAAGCCGCGTCACGTCTTGTCATCCCGCAGAAAGCAAAGCCGTCAATAAGGCCGGCGCTGACTGACGTCCCTGGCGATCTCTTTCTGATCAAGTTCTTTTTATCGTTATTTCAATGCGTTTAGACGTTGGTAGACTCTTATCATCAGGCGACTCATCAGTTCGTTTGTCTCCTATGCCATTAAAAAATTATCGTGCAAATGCAAAAAAGCCAATGGAAGCATTAAAGGAGAAAAGAGAAAGGAAAGCTACGAGTGTGTCAAAATTAAAGAACACTCAATGCACAAACATGATGAACAAATATTTTCATTACGGTTTGTTAAAATAAGCTATTTTCCAAAGAAGTTAAGAATTAGCAGCTTTTCTGCCGTGTTACTTTTTATGGTATAAGGATCAAAATCGACTTTTTTGTATAATATGTTGAAATCTTTGCTCGCTCGTACCATATAAGAATTCCTTCTGTAATTTTAAAATGCTGAGGAGATTGAAATTGGAGGATTATGCCTAACATATCTGGAAGGAAAATTAAATTCAAGCGCCTGCAATAGTTCAGGCCTAATGATAAAATCGTGCAAATGCAAGATTTTATCATTAGCTGCGTGAGGTGATGACATGACCCTATAATATTTTCTTTTTATGCAATAACTGCACCTGCCTGCTATTTGACGTTATACGTTTGACTTATTATTATTGTGCAGTTTATCGAACTTCGTATTAGTTCTCACTTCGAGATATAAAAATATAAACGTTTCGCCTTTATAAGCAAAGTATTTTGGCATACTCGCCTCAATTTTAAGAGTAGTGGGGTATATGGAGTATTCGTTCTAGTCCAGTTCTTGCCATGAGTACAGTCTTGTTTTTGTTGTCACTATTCTTACAAAGAGTAAGCACTTTTTTCTTTTTCTATAAAACTGTGTTCCACTATGATGCCAGGAGTCTTGGTAAGGTGCGGTGAACTCCCCAGGAGACACGTGCTTCTGTTACGCGGACCTGCACCCACGGTCCGCATAACAGGAAGACGCGCGTTTGCTGTAACTGCATGATGATGAATCCTTAAGGGTGACCAGGCCGTAGCACCCAGCTTTGGAATCTAGTGACTAATCGAATATTTGGCCAAATCTTCGGTCAAATCTTTTTAGAAAAATCGTAAACTAGACGATCTCTAATAATTTACGACGTAAGAATGCTCAATCACTAAGTCTAAATATTATTTTAGTCTACGTTTTCTGATCAGTCAGAAAACGTAGACTAATCTGGTAATCTCTCATTCTACACTGGAAGTAAGTTGGATTTTTCCCAGGAACTGCGCCATTAGGGTTACTTTTTTCAATTGTTTGTATGTAGGTATCTATATTTCTTTGGCACTCTTTTTTGGTTAGGCAGGTGTTGTTACCATTTGTTTTAATTTGTTAGTGACACAAATACACATTTGAAAATTATATAAATGTTGTTTGTATTATAATATTGGTTTTGCTTTTTTCAATAATTTACTAGTTTGACAAAAAACTCTCAATTTGAAACCATCATTGTGAGAAATTGATGACGAGAACGGTAAACCGATTTATGAACTCGCAAAGGTGAGATGAAGGTATTACTGTGAGAAACTCTATGGAGATCATTTGAGCTGGTTTAGACCCTAATGGAATAACTAGCCATCATGAAATATATAACCAGTCACTGGCCATCCGACTGGGTACATTCGTCAATTATTGTTTTACATAAAAAGGGTACGTAACTGCAATAACTATAGAACAATAAACCTAACATCACACGCTAGCAAAATTCTACTCCACATTATCAATTCAAGACTGCGATCATTTATTGATAAGCAGATTCCAGAATAGCAGGGGGGTTTGGAGGGTTAAGGGTCTCTACCCTTAACCAAACCGCCAAACCCCCTAAGGTTAAAATCTGATTTTAACCTTAGGCCATTATCCATAATAGAAAAATGTGAAGAATACTATACTATACCATTGATAATATAACATCGAGCCGATTCAACCTCCAAAAGGGCGTTCGACAGGGATGCGGGATATCTCCCATTTCATTTAATAAATGGTGAGCACATATTGCATCGAACACTTGAAAACTGTGGCAGAGATAACAAAATAGGTAGGTCACCATATCTAACCTCTGTTACGCAGATGATATCATCCTCTTCACCTCATCCGAAATAGCAATGGCCGAGAAGCTGAATAGACTGAAAACTATTAGCCTAGAAATGGGTCTTGCCTTTAACAAATCGAAGACCAGACTGATGCTTATCGACCGTTGCGCATCAGTTCAGCAAACCAACCTTCTACAAGAAAAGGAGACGGTAGACCAGTTTCAGTGTCTTGGTTCTGTCATTACCCGTGGTGGCAGCTGTGATACTGAAATACGCAGACGGATCGACATAGCGAAGACAGCAAGAACCCAACTGAACAAACTATGAAGGGACAGGAATGTCACAAACAAAAATAAAGTACATCTTGTACCCAAATTTGTCTTCTCCATTGCTCTTTATGGCGCAGTGACATGGTATATCAAAACCTATAATAGACAGTGAATTGATGCGTTTGAAATGTTGTGTTGGCGCCATATTGAAACAATTGAAAATAGAGAATATTCAGTGTCTGTCTTCAATTTGCAAACAACGTATTGTCAAATCTTTCGGACAAGTTCCTAGCCGAAATGATGACCACCTGGGGCGATTAATAGTGACTGGAAAGGGAAGAGACCCAAAGGCCCCCGAAAAGGGTCAGACCAGATCATTGAGACGCAAAAAGAACATTATACCATAAAAAAGCGTAGATGCTAACGTGCTAAAATTTGTTAAAAAGAACCCTACGCTTTTTTACAATAAAAAATATATTATTTTAATCACTAGTTTTCTTTTTGAACTACCTAATTGAAAAGGATTTTCTACTTTTAAGTTAGGCTAGTTACAAAGGCTAGTTTTTAAACTTTTATTTATTTTGGCTTTTTTAGTCTTTAATGATTAATATTTTCTCATTAAATACTATAATAGTAACAATTAAGTAAATCATAAATATTTCAGTAAATGCCTTTGTACGTGTCAAAACAGTACCGTATATTTAGATATGGAAAAAGTCGTTTATTATAAAGATTGCGATCAGAAAAATTGGACAAAGTTATTATGTTATGGTATTGTCTTTTAACACCATAACATAATAACTTTGTCCGATTGGTCATGTGGTCCGTGTGGTGACGGATTAAGAATACAAATTGTCACCATCCCAATTCATCCCGTGGGTGTCGTAAGAGCCGACTAAGGGAGCAAACTAAGCAGGACAACAGCACTGCAAAGAGAAGGAAAACTTGAAACAAACCCTATACCAACCCGTCTGGCCAGCGTGGTATAGTAGGCCAAAACCTCCTTTCTAAGGAGAGGTCTATGTCCAGCAGTGCACTAGTATAGGCTGTTGATGTGATTGTCATTTAAAGTTTGCGAAGTTTCAATTCAATACGACGTTTTTATCATCATCATCATCAACAGCCTATAACAGTCCACTGCTGGACATAGGCCTCTCCTTAGAAAGTTTTAGAATGGGTGAAAATTACGATCAAAGATTTTGTTACATAGAAACATCCATACCTAGCCAATAAAAGCGTGTTACAAATAAGTAATACCTACTTAAGTTTTTTACTTTTTTTTTGTATGTTTGTTACGCGGTATCTCCGTCAATGGTGGACAGATTTTCAAAATTCTTTTTCTAAACGAAAGGGTATGCTCCCGAGGTGGTCGCATTACCACCAAATCAGGATCTGATGATTGGATCCTAGAGAAATCGAGAGAAACCCTCAAATTTTACAGGCCCAACCCACAAATTGAATTCTTAATTTTTCATTGTGCCAATATAACGCTTGATATAGACCAGTTTTACTTATTGTGCATCAGACTTGGCACCGACTTCAAACAGACTATTGCTATTATAATGTTACCTGTTTTATTGAGGGTACCTACTTATTATAGTTTTTTACTCAGATTTATTAAATATTGTAATTAATTTTTAGTACTCTTTGTCAGTATTGTTTGAAGTCGATTCAACTTTTTTGTAAAAGGATTTATTTTTAATAAAGAAGCTACTACAATTGCAAAAATTAGTAATATTTTATTTGACAGTAATGAAATTTGGAAATAAAGAGAAAACTAATTTAAAATAATTATTATTAATAAATTTTCATCGATTTTATTTCATTATCGCTGAGGTGACCTTTAGACAAATAACTAATGTTGCAATATAGGCAACGAGACAGACGGATAATAGGTAGTTATCTCCAACTCTTTCTAGTCGTGCTCTGTGGTTGGCTGGGGAATATGAAGGGAAAATAAGTAGCCAATGGAAGCTTAGCTAAACAGAGACAGAGGGAAATATCGTGCATTCATTTCTCTCGTTGCCTGTATCACTTCCACATACAGGTAGCCGTAACCCATGTTCTCTCTATGCTTATATCTCTATGATTTTAACGCGACAACTTACCAAATGTCATTTTAGTATTTCTAATCACGTAATCCTGTTTGTAAAATTACAAAGAACTGGAATTCATGAGAATTTACTAAGATGGGTGAAGTCGTATTTATTGACTGACTGACAGACTAAGTTGTTGGTGGTTTTAGATCTTACTTCATAAGTATCTCTTCTGGTGTTGCCCAGGGATCCTTGTTAGGACCGTTCTTCTACTGTGCCAATGTGTATTATATCTAGACATGTTTCAAATACGCGGATCACCTCCTATACGCGGATGGCATTAAAATCTACTTGCATGTTCGATCAAGACTGGATTGTGAACTTATTGAACGCCTATCTCGGTGGGGCTCCCAGAAGTCAGTCTGACGCTGGTCTCTGGGAGCCGAAGAGCATCATATCGGCTGCGCTCCGGATCCGCCGTTTCGTCGGATGGCGTGGAGGCCATGGAGGCGGAGCGAAGCGACAGCCGGAAACGAGGACGCTCCAGGGACGAGGAAACCGACACGTCCCAGGAGATGATGCCACCAAAGGTGGCAAGCAGCCGCCGAGGGAGGGCACGCAAACCGGCCTCGGCCTCGGTCTCGACCCCGTCAGGCTCCGCGTTCTCAAACGCGGAGTCGTACAGAAACGTACGAGTGGACGGCGAGGCCGCAGCGGAGGAGGAGATCGCGGATCTCCTGCTCAAGGTTCGGGAGCCGGTGGGGGGAAATGCCCCCCAGGCTGCCGTGTCCGTGCAGGAGAGGGCGAAAGCGGCGGTGGCCGTCATCCACAAGGTGGCCACCAAGTCCGTGAACCTTAAGCGCTCATTTGTGAGGGCCCTCAAGGACTCCTCCTCCGCTTTGTTGGAGGTCGTGGAGGGCCTAGTGGGCGATGTGTCGCGCCTGCAGCTGGCCAACGAGAGGCTGACGGAGCGGGTGAACGAGCTGAGCGCTCAGTTCGCCCGCTTCCAGGCGAACCTCCCCGAGCGGGAAGCCCCGTCCGCGTCCCAGCCTGCCCCTACCACCAACTCAGGGGCATTTGACTCCCAACTGCGTGAAATCCTCATCGCAGTTGGGAATATGCTGGACGGACGCCTGGCTGGCCTGGAGGCGAGACTGCCCCCTGCGCCGGTTGTGCGCCCCCCGCTCGCGTCGGCACAGCGGCCTAAGGCCGCCGCTCCGACCGCGCTCCCCGTAGTGGGAGGCCGCGTCTCCTACGCGGCGGCGGCGTCTGCCCCGACTCCATCGGCTCCCCAAAAGCCGAGGAGGGGGGCCAAGGCACCGGCCCAGGCGCCGGCCAAGGCACCGTCCCAGGCGCCGGCCAAGGCGCAGGCCAAAGTGCCGGCCAAGACGGGGCCTAAAACGGCGCCGAGGAGCGGAGTGGCATTCCCTCCGCTCCCCACTCCGACACCCCTGCCGGGCCCCTCCGCACCTGCCCCCTCCAACGAGGGCTGGCAGGAGGCGAGGGGCTCCAAGAAGTCCCGAAGGCGGGCCAGAAGGGCTGCCCAAAAAGCAGCCCAAGCCCAGCCTTCGCCACCGGTGGCAACGGCCTCTGCAAAGAGGCCGCGGAAGCTGCAGCCGCCCAAAACCGCGGCTGTAGTGGTGACCGTATCCCCGGAGGCGGCTGACGGCGGGTTGTCCTACGCGGCCGTTTTTAAAAAGGCCCGGGACAGCCTCGCCAACGACTTTGGGACGGTGGGGGTCAAGATGCCCCTCGCCCAAACGGGAGCTCGAGTTCTCGAGTTCCCAGGTACTGAAGGCGCCAAGACGGCGGACACTTTCGCTGAGAGGCTGCGGGGTTTATTCGCGACCACAGATGGTGTCAAGATCGCCAGGCCTACCAAGTGCGCGGAGCTGCGCATCTCGGGCCTGGACGACTCTGTGACGGCCGAAGATGTCCGCGCTGTAATCCGGGAGAAGACGGGGTGCAGCGCGGACAACGTCAGGGTCGGCACCATCCGCCCCGGTCCAGGGGGGCTTGGCGCCGTGTGGGTCAGCTGTCCCGTAGCGTCGGCCAAAGTATTGGCCGACGCCGGCAGGCTGCTCATCGGTTTCGTGAGCGCTAGGATCACAGTCCTGGCGGCGAGACCGATGAGGTGTTACAAATGCCTAGCATCGGGGCACACGCGCGTCAAGTGCCAAAGCTGCTTCGACTGCAGCGGACTATGTTTCCGCTGTGGTCGACCGGGGCATGTGGCGGTGGAATGCTCTGCCGCCCCTCACTGCCCGGTGTGTGCGGCGGGTAACAAGCCCGCCAATCACCAGATGGGGCAGGGGGGCTGCAAGCCTCCCCGCAACTCTCAGCAAGCATCGGGGGCTAGCCAGTCGACCCAGGCTGCCTCCGATGTAGTTCGTGCGTCGACGTCGTCGCCCATGGAGGAGGCTGTAGAGACGATCCAGTAATGCATCGGGTCTCCAGCCTCCTGGTCCAGACGAACCTGAACCACTGTGCCGCGGCGCAGGATCTCTTCCTGCAAACCATTACACAGTGGTCGATAGGTGTTGCCGTAGTCGCGGAGCCCTATTCTGTCCCTCCCCGTCCAAATTGGATGGGTGACTGGGACGGCTCCGTGGCAGTCGTCGGTTCCACGACGGCTCATTCCCCGCCCTTGTCGCTAAGAGACAAGGGCACTGGATATGTTGCCGTCGAGTTGGGGGGGATCACCATATATGGTGTTTATTTCTCCCCCAACCGGAGTTTGAACGACTTCGAGGTTTTCCTAACCAGCTTGGAGACCTCGATACGGCGACTAGCGTCTGGGCACGTCCTTGTGCTGGGGGACTTCAACGCAAAGTCCATTGCGTGGGGTTCCCCCAGGACGGACGCAAGGGGCGAGGCCGTAGAGGAGTGGGCGGCCTCGGTGGGCCTCTGTCTTCTCAACAGAGGCTCCACCAACACGTGCGTGCGACAGCAGGGGGGTCGATAGTGGACCTTTCGTTCGCTACCCCTGCCCTCGCCGCACGAGTAAGGAACTGGCGTGTCCTGGAAGAGGTTGAGACGCTCTCGGATCATCTGTATATCCGATTTGAGCTCTCCCGGACCCAGGACTCCAGTAGGGGTCACGTGGCGCGGCGTTTATCCCGCTTTCCGCGGTGGGCTGTTGCCAGACTGAACCGGGACCTACTAGAGGAGGCAGCCATAATTCACTCGTGGCTGTCTCCTCAAGCTCCGACCGAGGAGGTCGACGTGGGGGCTGGTCGCTTTCGCGATGCGATTACGCATATCTGCGATGCGGCCATGCCAAGCATTCGAGGTCGTCGGCCTCCAAGGAAGGAAGTCTACTGGTGGTCCCAGGAGCTGGCGGACCTCCGTGCGGCCTGTACACGTGCCCGGAGGTCCTACACGCGCAGTTGGCGGCGTCACCGTGGAGACGGTGAGGAGGACCGGCTTCATGAGGAGTACCGACAGGCGCGGAAAACTCTGAAGCTGGCCATTAGCCGCGCCAAAGAAGAAAAGAGACAGGAGATGCTGGAGGGTATTAATCGTGACCCCTGGGGTCGCCCTTACCGCGCGGTGCGACAAAAGCTCCGCGCGTCGGCCCCCCCCCTTACGGAGACTCTCCAGCCCAGCTTCCTGCGAGAAGTGGTTGAGGGCCTTTTCCCACAACGAGCGGAACACACTCCCCTGTCGATGGCCTCCTTGGCCGGCGACAACGGGGAGCACGGGGAGGATAATGTTCCGCCCGTCCGGGATTCGGAGGTAGGGGCGGCTGTTCTACGGATCCGTTCCAAGAACACCGCCCCTGGGCCAGACGGGGTACCGGCCCGAGTGCTGGCCCTGGCCCTCAACCACATGGCAGACCGCCTCGGGGAGGTGTTCGACGCTAGCTTGGCGTCGGGACGCTTCCCTGAGTGCTGGAAGAGCGGCAAGCTGGTCCTATTAAGGAAGCCGGGACGGCCTGCCGATTCGGTCGCGGCCTATAGGCCCATCGTGCTGCTGGACGAGGCGGGTAAATTGTTTGAGAGGGTTCTTTCTGCCCGCATCGTCCGGCACCTCTGCGAGGTGGGCCCCGACCTGTCGGACGCCCAATTTGGTTTTCAGGCGGGGCGTTCGACAGTCGACGCCGTGTTGCGCCTGAGGGCCGTGACCGAAGAGGCCGTGAGCTGTGGCGGCGTGCTGTTGGCGGTGTCATTAGACATCGCCAACGCATTCAATAGTCTGCCATTCAGCTGCATCAGGGAAGCACTCCACTATCATGGGGTGCCAAAGTACCTGAGGCGGCTAGTGGCAGACTATTTAGAAGAGCGTACCGTCGTGTACGAGGACCGAGAAGGTAATCTGAGGTGTCGGCCCATGTCGTGCGGTGTTCCACAGGGGTCTGTTCTTGGACCCCTCTTGTGGAACATAGGGTACGACTGGGCCCTTCGCGCCGATTTCCCCCCCGGGCTGGGTGTAATCTGTTACGCAGACGATACCCTGGTGACAGCCCGCGGGGCAAACTTTCAAGAGGCGGCGCGCCTGGCCACAGGGGGAGTCTCCCTGGTGGTCGGGCGCATTGAGGCGCTGGGCTTACGGGTGGCCCTAGATAAGACGGAGGCCCTGTTATTTCATGGGCCCCGTCGTGGTCCACCCCCTGGCGCCTCAATCGTGGTCAACTCGGTCCTCGTACCGGTTCGGGCCCAGATGAAATATCTGGGCCTGATCCTCGACGGGAGGTGGCTCTTCGACGAGCACTTCTGACAGCTTGCTCCAAAGCTGGTCGGCGCTGCGTCTGCTCTAGGGCGACTTTTGCCCAATATGGGTGGACCCAGCGTCGCGACAAGACGGCTGTACACGGGGGTTGTCCGGTCAATGGCACTGTACGGTGCACCGGTGTGGGCGGCGGCTCTGACCGCCCAGAATAGGGTACGCCTCTGGCGCCCTCAGAGGGTAATGGCGGTCAGAGCCATACGCGGTTACCGCACCGTTTCGACGGAGGTGGCATGCGCGTTGGCCGGAACTCCCCCGTGGGATTTGGAGGCGGAAGTGCTCTCCGAAGTTTATCGGCGAGTGGCTGACTCCCGGGTGGAGAGCGGATTTCGCCCTCCGCCCGAGGATGTGCGCGAGTGGCGCGAAGCCGCTCGCCGAGCCACGATGGCTCGTTGGTCGTTCCGTTCCTCCACGCGCTGGCTTCGCCGCCGTGGAGGCTCTCCAGCCGGTCATCGCCGAGTGGGCAGGGCGGCAGCACGGGACCCTTTCCTTCCGGCTGACGCAGGTGCTTTCCGGGCACGGTTGCTTCGGAAAGTACCTGCACTCGGTCGCTAGGAGGGAACTGAGTCCCGCCTGCCACCACTGCGACTGCAGTGAGGACTCGGCCCAGAACACGCTGGCGGTCTGCCCCGCATGGGCGGCGCAGCGCCGGGCCCTCACTGCAGTACGTACTGCCGTAGTACGCTCCATGACCGGTAGCGACAGTTGTTTTACCGCGGTCGCAACCTTCTGCGAGGTAGTAATCTCGGCGAACCGGGCGGCGGAGGCCCGCCTATCACAGCCTCATGCCGCCCTGAGTGTGGCCGCGGGTGGACGGGGTGTGTTTCCCCTCCACCCGCATTAGTTTGGCGAGCCGCGAGGGGGCGGCGTCCGCGTGTGCCGGACGTCGCCTAAAGAGAGGAAAAAAAAAATAAAAAAAAAATTATTGAGACGGAGCCCGCACATGGAGCGGGCTGGCGCTAGGAGGGGTCCGGATGTCTTAACAACAGTTGTTCCCGGATCCCTCCTGTTACAGGCTCAGAGTGGCACACCGTGTGGTTTTAGTCGGTCCGAGTCCGACACACCACCCCGCCGCAAACCCCGGAGGGGTGACGGTCCGAGGGGATTTCCACACGTTAAAAAAAAAAAAAAAAAGTTAGAGATGTTGGTGTAATCCTATATTCAACAATGCTGTTTTCCGAGCACATTGATAACATCAGTAATAAGGCATCACGAAATCTTGGCTTTATAATGCGTACCTGTAAACCCTTCAGAAACTGTCACAGTCTGAAAATTGTGTATAACTCCTATGTCCGTACCGTTTTGGAGTATTGCTGTCCTGTCTGGTCACCGCAATATACGTTTATATTACAAGAATAGAGAGTTTACAGAAGAGGTTCGTAAGATTCCTTAACTTTAAATGTCAGAAGCGCCATGATTCCTACTCCATTAACAGTAAACATAATCACCTACTTTCCCTTAATGACAGGCGTATGTTGCTACTTTCTGAGGTTCTGCGTGGTAGACTTGACTGTTGTGAGCTACTTTCAGCTGTCGAATTCAGTACGCGGAAATCACGGACTAGACATACGCATTTCTTTAACGTAGCTTTTCATCACACCAGCTATGGTAGAAATGCTGTTATGACTCGGCTAGTTCGCACATACACTGCGAGTCTCGAAAGTATAGACATATTTATATTGTTAAAGAAATCGTGAAGATACTCACCGGTAATTAAGTATTTGGTTTAGAATTTATTTTTCTTTTTTCCTTTTCGTGAAGATTTTTTCTACTAGCTATCTCTACTTCTTAGTTGAAGTGCCAACAAAATGTCTTGAAACTCTGTAATTAGCTTAAGTTTACTATATAAGTGTCACAAGAATCATATGTGTAATGTAAACAAGCTGTTGAGTTTCTTATCAATAAATAAATTAATTAATAAAAATCAAACTTTACTTTAAATGCATGGAATGAAATGCCTTCGGGCAACTCCCATAGGCATTATTTTTATTTTCTTTACAGAGATTCTGAATGTCATTTGAAAATGGCCTTGGCCGATTATCGCATAAATTTAAAATTTGCTTTTTTTAAGCATTAACCACTCTATTTCTTCAACCATTATAGGGTTCTTTTAAGTTTTTGGGAGATTCTATAAAGCTTGTATGTTACGAAAATAAAGTTATGAAATGATTTGATTTGTTTATTTCATTATGTCAAAATCCAGTGTGACAGCGCAGTTTTAAGAAACCTACTAATTTTTCACGCTGGCTGCACTGAATAATATTTGTCAGTTTATAGATGTCAAAAAATATCAAAATCGACAAGCTTGCTTTTAACTTGTCGCATTTTTTTAATTTTCAGGGTTATTATACGACTAATAATTGTACATGAAAATTCTTTCAAAGTTGTAGTTTTCTTAACACTCACACGATGGGTCGCCGATCAATAAATACCACTAAAAGTGGTAAATATATGAACCCTACGGATCAAGCCAGTAAGTATTGATTGAGTAATACACTAATTTCTGCCGGTCTATTTGTTTTAGAAATAATTAAAAATGCTAATCCATCGCTTTAAGAGACGAGGATGCAATTTCGAACCTAAGTCAGGGTATAAATCCAGTTCATTAAAAGCAATTATGAATAAACTAAGCTGTACCATGCCACGCTTCGTACATTGTAATTGTATTTATGCGAAATGGGGAACCAAACTGAAACTAAAAATAGATATAAACAAACTTTGAATCGTGTTGTATATCGTGTCAAAATTCGAGCTCAATTGATGCAGAACTTCTTGAGTTTTTTAAAGCGTATACAAATCAACTTAACATTGTTATATTTATAGCATTCGCATAATTATAACACTTTAAATATTTATAACTTTGGAATATACTTTGCAGATTGAATCAATATCTTTATTTGTATTAAGGAAGTAACTAGGGATGTTGCCCCTTAACTAACTAGTAATCTTATAAGTCATGCCAACTATATATCTGTCAATGTTTTATTGCTTTTTGTCAGTTTCTTTAATAGATTAATATGTTTATGATTTAATACTCAATATCAAATATTTTTTTAAAACAAATTAGGATTGAATGTTAATGTTACAAAAAACTCAAGAGAAGATGCCACTGTATGCTTTCATTTAATCAATACTGATTACTACATCATATTGATTTCATTAAGCATATTGATGCTCTTTATAGTTAATACAGCTATTCATAAGTATAGATCAAAGGTTTTTATAATGATTCATAGACATACATAATTGTTTATAATATGTAAAAAAAATGAATAAATACTACAGGAAATTACGGTATCAGTATGCCTACAAAGGTAAAAAAGAGTAAAATAAAATGAAAATAAAAAAGTGTAAGAGACAGAAACCTCCTTTCTAAGTTGAGGCCCATGTTGAGCAGTGGACTATTTAAGCCCGTTGATGTGATGTGATGTGATGATGTAAGAGACATCCTTCTTTTTCAAAAGTATTAAATTTTTTACCATTCACAACTTTTCTTTTTGAAAAGTATTTAAAACTTTATTGAAGATGAGCATATATAATGATAGTGCAAATGAACAGTCATAAGAATTTGTTATTTTAATCAACAGGGAAAGAGGCAAGAAAAAAGGAATTGAAAAAAAATAAACGGCAAAGACAGATGGTGCGTGCCGCTGTACTGAAAATGAAAGATCCAACACAAATCTTGGAAGAGCTGCAGAAAATAGATGAAATGGGTAAACAGTTTTTTCTATTAGTTATGTGATCTCGGGTTTATTGTTCTTTTATTAAGCACACGAAACATGTAATAACAATAAAATTATGATTTTATAATGTATTTAATAGAGAAGTGTAGTTCTGGTTAATTAATAATAATATTCTACCACATTTACACAACATCATCTAGTCCCAAACTAAGCAGATACTATAAGTACTAGACAACTGACATAAATACATATTATTCTTTTTTTTTTTTGTAAATACATACATTGAAAATACACACGTTATACATAGAAACATCAAGACTAAATCAAACATTAAATGTTTATGCACACAAATGTTTGACTTAAGCGGGAATCGAACCAGCAACCTTTGGAATACACAAACCACTACGCCACCCAGTCATAAATTAAACCTGTATGAAACAGGGATTGGTCAAAATTAAGGCATAATAAATAGGAAGACACGTTTAAACATTTACAGTGCTACAAGAAAGCATTTTAGTATTATATTGTAGTTTTAGTGTATGTATTTTTCTATTTATTTCTGTGATCCAATTTTTGTTTGTGTTCATTTATTTATATAGCTAATGAAGAGTTTTAAACAATTAATTTTTTCAAACAATTCACAATTTTTTATTATTCTTAGCTATGCTTGAATTCACAGAATAATTTTAACTTTTAAAACCTAAAATATCTGGTTATATTCATTACAGAATACAATGTACTACAACCATCCCCTTTAAACGAAAAGGTTTTAAGAGAAAAGAGGAAAAAATTGAGAGAGACATATGACAGAGTCCTCAAGATGTATGTAAGTATATTTTGTAGATAAAGTAACATGGCAAATTCATGTGTTATATTTTTTAATTATTATATTTTTAATACTTTCAATCATTTTAAAGAATAGTTTCTTGAAATGGTTGTTATTGTCAGAAATAATCAGGTATGACCACCTGATTGTGATGGATGAATTTCCATACTAATTATGAAACTTTGAAGTTCCATGATGTATGATATAATCATAACTTCGGTAATTAACGTGATTATTAAGTCAAACTCAAACTCAAAAAAGTCAAACTCATCCCTTATATTTCAAATTTGTTGCCCCAGCAGTTCCCAAACAAACTTTAAATATATAAGTAAATAAAATACTGACTGATTTATAAATGCAATAACAAAACTACTATACAGATTATGTACAACCTGGTCCAAATATCAGGCAATTTAAATCTCTATAATTTAGAATTTCCATTTAATGTATACATCTGATTTAATGAAATACTAAGCAACACACATCACTTAAACAGGGTAATTTATTTGCTCCATTCTGCACTTCACTAATAGTACTTGTGCTATGTTTCAGGACAAAGATGATCCAGAAAAATGGGTGGAATTGAAACGTCAGGAAATGGAATATGAGAAAGGGAGGACACATTTAATATCTTTTTATGAATCTGTGAAGCATGCCCAATCTGTGCAAGTTGACGATATTCCTTTGCCTACATTACAAGTGAGTAGTTTATTTGTTAACTTGTTTGGCCGGCTCGACCAGAGTGATATCTTGGCCTCATAGGAAACCAGTGTTAAGCTAATATTTCTTTCCTATCTTCCGTATATCATTAATTAAATCATTTTAATGAAACCTACCTTTGTAATTACTGATAAATATACTGATACATTATATATTCAACCATTTTTTTCTATATGCACATACAGGTACTTATAGTAATAAGATATACGAAAGTGAGATACTGGGTTGGTAAGATCATTATATCAATTATTTCATAAAAAAGCTTTATGAGTAAAATCAGTGAAATTTCTTAAGATAATCACAATTTCAACAAAAAAAAAAACGTGTTGTGTCGCTACGCAATCACTAATGAAACAAAAGCGCCTACGGCGTCGTCATCACAGCTACTTTAGTGATGCAGGTTTAAACTTGTCACCCGCGAAAGGTACCAAGTGCAGCCTAATATTCGGTATTGGGTGTTTCTCATTTTTCGTGCAAATTAGGCGTCCATTGCAAAAATCTTAATTTTTTCAATAAATATCTATGATTCTTTTAAATCAAATCATATGTTATAAAATTGTGCTTATATGCATGTAACATTTACTGTTCCACATAGCTTATTTAATGTGTTATACGTAAAAAACTTTGCTAAATCTCATTTACTTCGGTGTCCACTTGCTATTCTCCTTATTAAATTTGTATTTAAACCTAAAATATAAATATCAAACCTTAACAAAGTAATAAATTTAAGAAACTGTATTAACAAGAGCAACGTTTGAACTTAAAATAATTAATATTAACTCAACAATACAATGAAATTTTATTTTATATATGTTTAGCACATTTTTTTTCTGATAACCATCGGTTCGTAAGAAAGTGTAAATTGCATTCTGGGTTTGCTCTTAAATGCTTCTTTGCTGTTACCATACCCCGCGCACATCTCTCATTTGGCTGGCAAACATCGTAGCAGGTGCATGCTTGTTCGTGGAAAAGAAATATTTTCGTTTAGAGTTTTGCGGGAGGTGATTATTCTGGAATCGTACTCTTTCCTATCGTCCACACTATTAAGTGAGTACTTATGATTTTATTCAGTGTGCAGCTAATTTTAAATTTTAATAGATACCTTTGTCGTTTAAAATATGCATTAGGTCCGTTACTTTGATATTTTTTGGGAAACTATGGATAAAGTATTCAAACCTCATTACCTTCTTTCTCAGTGCCTTCGTTTACCGTCGTTTTTTTGAGCGATGGTGATGAGATTAATACGATGGCAATTAGAATGTATTTTATGTTAGTTCATTTTTAGTTGCTTTTTTCTTTTTGCAAAATTATGTTTGCCAACTGTGACGATAACTGGCTAAGCAAAAAATACGATTATTATAATTAAAAAAAATAAAGCATGTTAAAAATAAATAAAGCAAATAAAACATTACTTCTATAGATCGCTAAGGATGCCAAAGAAAACCAAACAAATATTGGAGCAGAAACGAGAGCAAGATCGACTACAAAAAAAGTAAATATGCAGAAATAAATAAAGACCCCGAAAAGTATGCAAAAGAGAAAGCAAAAGAACGGGTAAGATATCTTAAAAGAAAAGAACAGAAAATATAAAAAGCGCAGCAGATATGACACCGAGACAATTTAGAGTCCAAAGAAAAACATGGAGAGTTAATTCGAAACGTCACTACTCTCTCGTTGGCTATATGAAACACTGCACTAATACCGATACCGACTATTGCGTATGTGAAGGAGCTTTCAAGCCAGATTGACACAGTACATTTTGTTTCCGATAGTCCAACAAGTCAATATCGAAATCGTTTTATTTTTTATATGATCAGCCAGCTGTATCGCGATTTTCCGCAACTAAAATCTGTGACCTGGAACTTCTTTGAAGCTGGACATGGAAAAGGAGCACTAGACGGAGTTGGTGCTGTTCTCAAAAGAACAGCAGATCAAGTACTTCGTTTTGGCAGTGGCGTGAACTCCTTAGAAACATTCCTAGCCTGTCTTATACCTAGAGTAAAGATTGAGATACGTATTGTAACAAGATATGACATTGAAACAATAAATTTTCCAACAAACTTAAAAGCCGCCAAAGGTACAATGATGGTACACTAAGCTCTTTGGATGGATGTTGGATGGATGTTCTAAAATTACTTTAAGAAAATTAAGTTGTTTTCTGTGTGACAAAGAAGTTACTTGCATTCACGGCAAACATATTGGATACTATGGAAATAAACATATTGGAAACTGGCTAGAATTGACGTCATCATGAAAAGGAATACTTTTCATGATGACGTCAATTCTAGCCAGTTTCAGAGTTTTATTGATGAAAATACAACACCAGAACTCATAAAAGAAATAAGCAACCCAGATTTTTCAATTACTCGTTCTGAACCATCAATCAGATTCGAAGATAAATTGTCAAATAGACCCTACTCACCAAAGGTTAAAATACTGTCGGATATAAATTTGACTGATTGGGAAAATATAAATTTTTACATTAAAAAAGTTAGTTTGGGACTAGATGGCGTTGTGTGAATGTGGTAGAATTTTATTAATATGTTGAGTTCAACATCTCGACTTTTGTCGGTTTTATAAATACCCCGTCCCGTAACACACGGGAAAAAAGATATCTATGTCCCCAAAAACTTCAAATTGATAAAGTTAGATATGAATTATGAGAATTATTTACTGTAATTTAATTTTTAATGTGTAGTTTCATTGTATGAGAGGAACCTAACTAGTGTGTCTGTCGTGTGGTGCGTGTTATTTGCGGCCCTTCTCCTTCCTCGTCCTCGTCCTCTCCCTCTTACCCGTCGTATGCTTAATGTATGTTGTGTGTCCAGTGTATGTGCTATGTTGAGTGGGTCTAGAGTGTCTGAGGATTGCGGTATGTCTGGCGATTGTTGCGAGTCCTGTGGTTGTGGGTCCTGTGACTGATGCATGTTTTGCGATTCCTGGGTGTTTTGTGTATGTTGATCCTGTGTGCTGTGTATGAATACCGTTTCTCCCAAAACTTTACTGAGTATGGTCACTGTGTGTATGGCTGCTTGTTTTTGAAGGATGGTTATGTCGATGTTGGCTCCTAATTTATCTATGTATTTATTTATGTTTTTAGCGACTATTCCAGTTGCGCCTATAACTATCAGAATGACAGTCGTTTGTGTATTCCACAGGCGGGTGACTTCAGTTTTCAACAGGTGGTATTTGCTCAATTTCTCAATCTCCTTAGCGCCTATATTGTAATCGGATGGTACGGTAATGTCTATTAAATATGTTTTATTGCTAGTTTTGTCGATATATATAAGGTCAGGTCTATTGTGCGTTACGGTGATATCTGTTTGTACGGGCATTTCCCAAAGGATTTTAGTGGATTCATTTTCTTTGACTTGTGGTTGTATGAGTGTTTCTTTCCACCAAAGATCAGATATTTCTATTTTGTGTTTTTTGGCCAGACACCAGTAGACGTATTGGACAAGGTTATTATGTCGTTCAACATAATAGGTCCCCGCCAGTTTTTCGCATCCTGATATGATGTGCTGAGTGGTCTTTAATATAAATATTTAGATAATTAGATTTTGATTGGATTAATAAAGAATTTTTTTAAGGAAGGCATGGAGAAATGGCCCATATTATGTTATGATCATTATTTCTATAGCAATTAGATTCTTGAATCATAAATATTAAAAATGCATCTTTGTATAACAAAATTTTGTGTCATTCCCTTCTGTGTATCTCAATTACCTTCGCACCCCTATTTCCCACAGCTAACGGCTCAAAATCATTCCCCTCCTTAACATTCTCATTACTATCTCATCCCAATTTTTGATATGCTAATAATTTCATTGTTTTTCACAAAATTAAGGTAGAAACAATAAAAGGTTGAAGAATTAACTATATAGTAATGAAATAGGAAAAAAAAATTAAGTTTTTTGACAATAATTTGGAATTTAGAATTTTCACTGAATTTGCACGAACTAGGCGAAACACCCTATTCGGCCAATCACTATTCGTGGAATCTAATAACCGAAAAATTCATGATATATTGCAATATGTGTTTTACATAATGCTTTCTTTCAGATACCAGAGAATTTAATATACAGCAGTGTACCTTCACAAATACCCTTACCCTTGGACTCGGCGCACCCTAATGTACCCCCGCCAACTGCAGTCAAGCCTATATTGAAAAAGGATTCAGCTTATAAAGTAGGTTATTTATTTAATTGTTTCATATGAACTTATGTCTGCCTACCCAGGCGCCATCCACGTTGGGTTTTAATGACACGAACGGGTACGGGTATCTTTAAAATAAGTTACGTAAACATATTGATTTTTGTTATAGCTAGAGACAAGACTTCATGTTATTAGATTTACTCAAAGAGCGTAAACTGACAACTGCCTACAGTTGTAGTTTGTCTAACCTGAAATTTGTAGTTGCGTACAGTACCTATACAAATGTCAGGTTACGCCGAAATGTGATGAGCTGTGTTTGAAATTTGATGTTTTAACTCAAAGAAATGGTTTTGACTATATTTTATGCTTTGCTGGACATAGCCGGCATTAACAGCAGAATATACAGATAATCACGGTAAATGTCAGTTTCATCGAATCTAAATCTCATAAGCGAACATTAGTTTTAAAAAAGTTTTTTAAAATTACCATGTAACATGAGGATCAGGGAATTCAGAGGTGAAAGTCTTGACGGACCACCAACCAAGATTCCAGGTATTCGCAGAGAGTGCCAAAAATGTCAAGGGAAAAAGTACAGAAAGACTTCTCATCCCTACCATGACTGGCAGAAGTTTATATGGCCTCAACACATAATTCCCTTCAGCGCACAATTTGATTACCTTTTGAAGATGACCATTGTTAGGTTCATGCTGACGTCATAATTATAATATTTATGATTATTTATTCAAGAACATAGTCTTATTTAGTCTTATTTATATTCCTGAACTTTATTAAAAGCAAAATGTTTTATATTTTTTATTATATTTTTAAATTATCGATAAAATACAAGCAATAAATGTTTTTAGTTCACATTTTTTGTTATTTTGTTTTTGTATGTATTACGATTTTGAATTAGTTTGGAAAATAAGCTATTTTCTAAACAGGCATAATTTTGGCCCAACGTGGATGTTAGTGTAACAATCTTCCACATGGATGCCGCCAGGTTACCCTCGGGAAAACTACTTTCTTCACGTGTTTTTCTGTACTCATTTATCATCAGCCTGCTTTATCTAAAAGTGCTGTCCGAGAGCACATGCACGAGCATATCTGAATTGCAGTACGTTTTTCCATAATATTGGAAGACTTTTCTGGTTTTCTCCAAGATATCGTTATAAAATCTTAACCTGATTGAAAGTTATATTTTTTTTATTTATTCTCTTTCTCTTACAAGGTTGCCTTAGAAGTACAACGACCAACATGTACAGATACATTATATATTCTATCAAACCAGTTTTTGAAAAATCATGAAAAATTGTAACAAACTTAAGTATAATCGGAAAAGTTTTAATTTTTTTTTTAAATAAAGATAAATATTTCAGAGCTTTGATCTTTATTTATCAGGAGAAACCATCTGGTGCTGAACCTCCAGGCGTCCCACCGGGACCACCTGTGAACTATCAGTTGTTGTTAGCTCAGGAACCCACTAATGATCATCATAAAGAAAAGAAGAGCCTCAGGTTTTCTGACATGCCAGATGAAGGGCCGCCAGGAGATTACGTAAGTATTATAAACTTTTTTCTTATAAATCTCTGATACCATGATAATATCTTAAGAGAAACAAACACCTGTCTCTGCAAGAGGTAGGGAGAGGCGTATTTTGCCGTGTATATACGTATAACTGTAATTTGAACTGGCTGTTGCCTGGAAGTTCGACCCATATTACCATAAGACTCAAACAGCTCAAGATTTAAACGGATTTTAAATATTTTCATAAGTAATTCGATCTTTTTTAACGAAAATTTGATGTTTAAACATACAAAAAATGTAGGAAACTAGACATTTTGACACTACTGTGACGTCACACTATAGGCCTCATTAGACTTAATATCTTCTTAACAGTTATTGACAGGCCTGCGAGATGCCCCTTTGTCAAAGTAACTTAAATAGATTTTGTTATTCTCTAATGATAACAGACAAATTGGAACGAAAAGCGCGGTACTTACTTCCGCCTTTTAAGTTTTTTTTCGTTTTTTTTGTCCTGATTTTTGGGACATTTAATCAATATGTTTATCATAATTGTTTATAGTTCCTATAGGTTTTTTAACACTTACAAAACTAAAGGGTAGAAATTCTGTTCTGCTTAAACACCATTCTACTCACATTTTAAGAAGCGATTTTTTGACATGTGTTAAAAGACTGGTAGGTACTTAAAATTATACCCACATATTATGCTTAGATTAAACTAAAGCATTATATGTGGGTATAATTTCCTATTATTTGTAATCCCAACATACTAATAATTAAATGTTTTAATGTTATAATTTTAACCCAATTTATTTAATTGGGTTAAAATTACACCGTGTTAATAAATAGAGATCTGAAATATAATTTCATTATTTATTTGTATTGCAGGAAATACCGCCTATTCAAATAAAACCTCCACCTCCAGTGCTCCCTTCAGTGCACCCTTCAGTACTCCCTCAAGTACATCCACCAGTACACCCACCAGTGCACCCGCCTGTACCAGAGAACATTGACGGTGAAGTCGTGGAAGAACCAGAGAGTTCTGGAGTACATAACAACGGTACAACCAACGGTGCTCATTCTGCGACTCCAGCTACAGCTCCCAAACCTACGTCGTTACAGCAGCGTATGTTGGCATTATCCGGTCAGAATATCGACGACTTCATGAAGGAGATGGAAGAGGTGCACAGAAAGAGAGAAAGAGATAGAGCTGCGGATTTGAATGCGAGGTACATATTGTTTATTAAATATATTCTAAAGATATTAATATGTACAGCTAGTGTCGTCTTCTTCTTGCAAAGTTCTCGTGGTGGTTCCATCATACTAGGTTCTGGCGTTGCTTCTTTTTTTAAACTTGAACACTAGAGGACCTCGATAAACAACTGTCAAATAAAGGTATAAAATTTCGCCAAAATATTATATTGTCTATAACCAATCTATCAACACTTTCTATTTATATAATGTCTGATGTTCAAACTATCTACATAATGTCGAAAATCTGACGATTTGGACGAATCATGAATTCTTTAAAACCAACATACAAAACCAAGTAGCGATATTTAAACTATTACAACTGTCATAATTAACTCCTAATCAGTCACATCTAAACAAATAAACTATTATTACAATTAACAACAATATATTTGTAATGACTAGAATAAGCCCGGCCATAGCTTTAATCGGCTGTTGTCCGTATCGATCATAAGATTAAAAAAATGTTGAACATTGTTGGAGCTGTTAATACGTTTTTCGCAACATTTAATGTTGAAGTTAGTTTATAGTTAAAGTTAGGTAAAAAATACCAATGTTGTTGTTATGAGCGTTTATTGAACACTAAAAGTCTATGTATAAATTAAAACCTTATAAACTACGTTTTCGCTGTCTTAGATAAGTACGAGTTCTTTTATGCTCCCGACTTAAGATAAGAAAGGGGGGCAAACATTTTGTATAACATCAACTAAAATAAACTGTATAATTATGTATAATATATGCAAAAATTAAAAAACACTATATCTAATTTCTGCGGCTTGTGAAAGGTGAGCTCTCCCTATCCACGGCAGTATGTTACTTCCAGGTGTATGTTCGTTGAGATGCGACGTTGGTGCTGGGTTGCTCTCGGGTACCTTAAACTTGAGAACACAGCAAGCCCCACAATAGTACCTAGTGCTAAAATAGCATACACGGCGTAATGATGTTTATCAGGAGTTTCAGCCCTTTCTTTCAAAGCTTCCTGTTGATTTTTGACCACCTCCAGCTTCTCCTTCAGGTAGCTTAGATGCTGCGAGTGGTTCTCGGACTCGAAAGTAAAAGCTCTGGTGTTGATGATCTGATTGATTTCTGACTCCGGTATGTACTGTGTATCTCGGTTGATATTTACGGTATTCTGAAAGTTCCTGTGGGCGTGACTGAATATCTAATCTCCCTTCAGAATGATTGTAATGATTCCGGTATAGCGTAATGTTTGGTTATTCCAGACAATCAAAATACGTGCACTAGGCGCTCCTCAAAACACGAGAATAGCCACGCGTCGCGGCTTGTTATCTTGATCCATTCGTCATAACAATCGGTAGACACCGTTTTGCAACTCGATACCCCTTTGTTGTTTATAATTTGCGCCTCGCACCTTGATGAGGTGTATTTAATGTTATAAGTGGGTGAGGTCAGGTCACAATGTAATTGCTATTTGTTTATGTGTTCGCATGACATCAGATCGTTGTATGTTAAAGGTTGTTGTTAATAATAAATCTTTTTAGAGATTTACTACCAAATAACTTGAAGACGGCAATATCCTTCTGGCAGATTGGTTTCGTTTTTGAGGTACAGGTAACATTCGTTAACCGCATGGTTTAGTTCGTATTGTTCGTTGGATATTAGTGGTAATTAAACTTCAAATATCAAAAAACCTTCAATAAACCTCATGTGAACATGTGACAACTTTTACATTTGTTGAATACACCTATGGTTGCCGATACACGGTACTGAGAGTTTGGTATCTGCCGTGAAATTATGTTCAGCTGTTGTTGAAACTCCCTAGGGTGCAATGAGTGTGTGTCCAATCGTCCATTTCGTATATCCGTAACTAGGTCGAGCAAAACTTGTTGAATACGATGCAAGCTTGCAATAATCATGTTTGCGGCAAGCGCGTTAGTTGCCAGGTACAATACTTTCGTGGGTTGATTTCTCGCGATTGTCTATTTGCTATATATAAGGTATAAGGTGTTGACTAATTGCAGAAAACTGTTTATTCATAGTTAAAACGGTGTATTTTAGGTTGAGTGCGCTGAAGCGTACGGGCGGAGCGCGCGACAGCGACTCGGACAGCGACTCGGAGGCGCACCACGCGCACTCCGCGCACGGACACGCCGACTTCGGCCTCGAGCCGCCCGGCGCAGAGATCAGGCAAATGCCGCCGCCCTTACTGCCTCCAGGTAATGCCACAGAAAACCACGTCGAGCCAGGTAGGTAGGTAGAGGTCGTGGGTTCGATTCCCATCCAGGACAAATAATTGTGTTTTGTGTCAGGGTGTAGTTTATCTAAATAATAATAATCATTTATAGCCAGTAAACTCATAGGAATTTTATTTTTTTTAGATAGCAAAATTACAGTAAATTACTTAGTAATAATAATATAATTTTAATACAGTTGAAACCTTTAAAACTAGCCTTAAGTTGAGAAAAATAAACATTCGAATAACAATCATTATAAAAATATAATTTAATAATAATAAGATACTAATCACTTTCTCATGCAAGTAAATTCTAAATTATAATAATTTTAGAGTGAAACCACCGCAGTCCACCGCTGTTTAGGAGAAATTAGATAGTCCATATCTATATTATCGTCCTCGTTAGTACTCATTTTACAAAATTACTATTGATATAAAATTACGGGAAAACACCCGCACCGCACCGTGTGGTATACCATGGACATTTGTATGTATTACGCCGCAGCGGCACCGCTCAGGCGCCGCGCCGGAGCCGCACCGCATCGTGTGGCTTCTCCCTTAAGCAATCGTAGCGACATTATACACAGCTTGAACCACAGATTTTCTAGTGTTTCTCATTTGATCCATGAAAGAGGCGGCCCTTTTTCTCATCACCACATAGACATCACCCACCCTATTCGCGGTGAACGTTCCAGACGCGCTACATCGCCACGGTAGGTTTAGCATGGCCCTGAAGGCGTTGTTGTCCTGCACGCGTAGTGCGCTGTAGGTACGCTAAGTGTAGTTCTACCATAAGTAGCAATTATAGAATGCCTGATAGTACGCCGTGAATTGGGTGGAATTTAGCTTGGTATGTCTGCAGGTATGTATGTAACGGGGTCTTCGAACGTGAATTAGTCCACTTCAAAACGTCGAATTAAATTGAAACGTGGCACACTTATCAAGGACCGATGACAATGCAATAAGTTAAATAGTCTGTCCCACTATCCTGACCAGGACCTTCACGATTAACGGCTTCTTATGGTAGGTTCTTAGGTATGAACCTAAAAATACGGTAGTATCTTTTGCCACGTACTAAGGCGTGTACTAAAGCATATGTGATAAACTTACTTGTTACTTTTTTAGTCTTGATAAGATAACAATGAAACTTTTTAGGTCTTCGTCCACCTCCACTACGAGCGCCGATAGCTCCGCCGATGCGGCTAGTACCTCCAGGACCTCCAGGACCCCCAGGCCCGCCCCCAGGCCACCCTGGGCCCCCACCAGGACCGCCGGGACCTCCTCTGGGTCCCCCAGGCCTCGCAGCCGCTCGTGCTATGGTGAGACCTCCTGGCCCTCCTCCAGGAGCGCCTCCCCGACTGTTAAGACCGATAGTACCTCCGCCGCCGCCTAAACCAATCCAACCTCAAGTATCTGTGCTGACGGCAGCTCCTCAGCTCATAACCAAGAAGGATGCTCCTCAAGGTACGAATATTTAAATCTTCGTTTTAGTGTATTTCAAGAATGCAAAAAAAAAATACTTTAAGGAAAGAGCATTTTAGTTGTGGTATGGCGCCATTAGTTTAACTACTCTGTAACAACAATCTGATTGTCGTAACATAAAAATAGTTATTTTTTTGTAAATAATCTATAAAAGCTAATAAAATATTTTTGTTACTCTTACACGATAGTACAAAATTAAACAATGCTTAACCTATTTGATCATATCGATGTAATACTGAACTACAATTAGCGACTTATTTTTATTTCGCATTCTGTTTTTCTGTGTCTAAAACGTTTACTTATAAACTGAACGACACGACACAAAGAATCTATTTTAAAATGCAGATTTAATGACATACATATATCATGTAAATGTAATATGTTACATATGTGTATGTAACTTTTTACTGTAATGCGTCCTTAACGCACACGGAGCGCTTAACTTAAATTGATTTATTTATTGCATTCTGCCTTACATCTGAATGTTCATATAAATTGTATCTTAACATGCAAATATATGTACTCACGCCTCAATCGTAGGTGGGCGGCACTTACCCGGTGGAGACGATAGAAATAATATAAAGACTATTATTTCATGCGATATAAACTCGTTAGTTAAATAAAACTTTCTAACCATGGCTACCATTTTTTAGGTGCAACTATAAGTGCCAAGCCACAAATACGGAATCTCTCCGCGGACGTCACAAGATTCGTGCCATCAGCGTTGCGAGTCAAAAGAGAAGACAAAAAGTCTAAACCGGGAATCAAAACTGGGACTATACAAAGGCCGGCTGATGTTCCTAAACAAACACCCAGCAAGGACGACGCTTATATGCAGTTTATGAAAGAAATGGAAGGACTGTTATAGATAAAGTTAGAAAAAAATGTGTATTATCGTTGGTGTCCATTCAACACTTTAATATGGTAGTAGGCCTGTCAATGAAAAGCTTTTTTATTAACAGTCAAAACACCACCCACCCTTAGATACACTAGGAGGTAATGCCTGTGGCATTAAGTTCGCTTTGTACACAATGGTGAAACACACTCCAAAGTATTTCGTAGTTTCGCTTAAGTTCTTGTAAATACTTGTAATATGGTAAGAATGGAACAATAAAATGTTAAAATTAAATTTTAATGCCTTGTCATTGTAATAATAGTTATAAATATAATTTCAAACCACACATTAGTTAACCAAGTTTAAACGCGTGGTATGACATGCGTATGTTTTCGTTGACGTAACTTATCAGTTAGATAATAATAATTGCAGTAGGCATGTTTTCGGTAGTTCAAAACTAATATTATCCTTTCAAACTGATAAAAATACTCCGGTGAAAACAAAGTTATGTAATATTTGTTTAGATTGTACCGCTAGATACAGTTGGCTATAAGCGTAGTTGTGGAAAGTAGTTACGTTTTACACGACTGCGTCAGGAGAGTTATGATTTTCTAGTGTAAGTATGTATGTATGTATGCATATTTGTTTTGCACACTTTATTGCCTAAATGGGTTGATGGATTTTGATGTTTCAGGTGTCGTGACGTGTCTGATTAAATCAAAATTTTAAATGGCGGCTTTTGACCCCAATTCTTTGTCTTCAAATCTATCGAGTGGGGTACCAAAGGAAAGGGTTTTGAAGGATGTCTTACAAAAATATATACAACTTACCTATATATTTAAATGTAATCTGCAATGAGAAATGCTAAAAAAGAGTGAATAACGAAACGAAACGTGAAAAACGTTAAAATCATAGACTTTAATCTATGATTTTAACGAAGCTTTGTTTTTGTTTTTTTTTTAAATTTAACAAAAGCTATGTGAAAGATACTAATCTTTTATCGCGAAATGAAAGTTTCAGCGCTAGTTAGCATACAATTCAACATTCCAACATGGTTTTCTTCCGTTTACGCAAAAACACATACACTACACGACTACGACTCACAGAGGTTTACCTACCCAGCACAATATCACCGCAACTCTAAAACACCTACTTGCTATCTCAACACATGGAGCCTTGAATCAGTCAGAAGAACACATTTCCGACTTCAATGCATGCATTCCCCTAGTAGCCGACTCACTGGAGCTAGCGGCGCTCAGTACCAATTAACTACACCAATTACAATTCTCAAACTCCATAATAATTAATAGCCATAATAACTCATAAGTTGTACAGCCTAAGGCCCGGTATCCACCAAAGCAGAGAGGAGACGAGAGATGTGTTCGTTATTTCCACATCTCCTCTGCGCTTAGCTGCGGTGGACATGGATCAAGCGGAGAGGAGAGGAGATGTCTCATTTTTCTGTAGAATTTTGTGCCGCGAGCGAGCAAGTAGTGCGACCGATCGGAGAAATGTGTAGTTGACGGCCGGGCGGCGCAGCGACGCCCGCGCTCGCGCGCCTCGTTCCCCGCTGCTTCTGCAACAAACTCTTGAAATTGTGTGACATACTCGCCATGACTGCGACATTTTATATGGTTTCTTATCCAGAATCTATGTTGCCGTCGATAATTTAAATATTGAAGAATTAATCGTATTCCTTCAACCTCTAATTAATCTACCTCAAGCAAATTAGGATATAACTATCGTAACGGTAACGACATGACGTTGTCCTTTCGTAGCTACAGTGTCTTGACTGACTAGACTTGACAGTACAGTACAGTTCTTGACTGGTTTCGAGCTCTCTCAGTTTACGTCGCTTACGCTACGCACAGCTTACCTCCCTCCCTCACCTCTACGCGTCACCTCTTCGTTACGGTGGAAATAGCCAGCTTCGCAGTCCATCTCCTCTCGTCTCGTTTCCTCTCTGCTTTGGTGGAAACCGGGCTTTATGGCTTATTGCTGTTTTATCCGGCATTTTTTAAATATGTTATTAGTGTTCAGTCCCCTATCATCCTTTAGTAGTCTTAGTAGACTTTAGTAGTTTACTGCTGGACATAGGTCTCTCCTTAAAGAGGAGATTTTGACCTACTATACCACGCCGGCCAGATGTATTGGCATAGGGTTTGTTTCAAGATTTCCATCTGTTTGCAATGGTGTTGTCATGCGTAGTTTGTACCCTTAGTCGGCTCTTGCGACTCCCACGGGACCGTCATCATACGGAATAACTTATTCATTCGTATAAACAAAATGCCATATAAAAACATTTTTTCTACTCTCACCCAGAACCACAAACGGGTAAAATCACAACAATTCCCTCAGTCTTAAAAATATTTTTAACCGAATAACTAATAAATTTACCTCCACCTTGACGTTGGCAAAATCATCGATAACCGATGGAGCCATTGAATTAAACGAAAGAAGAAAGAAGAAGAATTCCCCTTAAAAGGACTCGATTTGTAATCTCAAGGATTTTACGATAAGTTTCTATTATACATTTGTTTTACATAATTTAATGTATCGTTATGATAAAAAGTGCCAATCAGGTTATCAACTAGAAAAATACGTTTTAACTTGTACCATACGCATAACAAGGTCAAGTGCTAAATACATAACGTATGTCAAATAAATACATTATGTAGGTAGGTCTCTAGTAACATGACAATGTGTTTTGAAAACCACCCCAGATACTCAATTACTTTCCCCAGGGAAACAAGTAGGTATTGTAAGCATTTTATCTAAATTTCACTTTAGTTACTAGTTCAGACTTAAACTCTGGCACTGTATCGGACTTCCTAAAATCCAATTCATCACTGATCGGTCGATCCTGGAAGTGAACCGACTGCACATCATTTCTGATGTCCTATTCAGGTTTAAAATCATCCATACTTTCATACTTATTTATAAAAATAAATAAAATAAAATATTTATTATCTGCCTGTCTGTTTGTTCCGAGTAATGTTCAGAACGTCTGAACCGATTTTGATAATATTTTACTGCTAGGTAGCTGTCTATAGCTTTCTATAACGACGAGATTGGCCTATTTAAACATTGTAGTCTTACCCATCATCATCATCATCATCATCAACAGCCTTTACTAGTCCACTGCTGGACATAGGCCTCTCCTTAGAAAGGAGGTTTTGGCCTACTATACCACGCTGGCCAGACGGGTTGGTATAGGGTTTGTGTCAAGTTTTCCTTCTCTCAGCACTGTTGTTGTCCTGCTTAATTTGGTCCCTTAGTCCTAAGTCTTACCCGTTCATACTAAATTTAACTGTATTATTTTAAAAGAAAACTTTTTTAATAGCAAATTAAAAAAAGTCAAACAACAGCCTGTGTATATTAGAGCGGCAGTGCAAAACCGGTTATGCACACTGCGCGCAAACAACACGCACGGCGAAAGAACCACTGCCTACATATTTCCTCGACTGATAAACAAGGTACCCCCGGATTTAGTTAATAAAATTACAGAGGGTAACTTAAAATTAAAACTTAATAGCTTATTTCTCTAGCTTTATAGATATTTGCGTTCAGTAGTCGAAATGTCATGTTGCTGAGCTGATGATAGAAGGGTCCTTGACCTTTAGGAGTTAGAAGATAACTCTCAAAAATCTAATCATGTATTGACATTGTTTTATTCTTCCAAGATATTTGTTAGGTGTTTGTGTTGGGTTACAGAGATATGTGCACAAAAGATTAGTGATGACTTCAAACAGACTAGATGTTACTTGCTGCTTAATATTGCTATTATAATGTTACCTGTTATATTGAGGGTACTTATAATAGTTTTTTTACTTAGATTTGTAATTATTTCTTAATTTTTAGTGCTCTTTGTCACTATTGTTTGAAGTCGGTTCAACTTTTTTTTAAAAGGATTTATACACTTCAGTCTAGATACCTATTGGGTGGCATTAGTTCAAATCCATGTTACCTACTCGTACACTGAATAGGTAGATTGATGGTTTTCTTCGCCAACAACACTGTTATACCTTATACACAGTGAAATAAATCATAACATGTTGTTCTTGCTTTATGATGGTGTAAATAATAAGTACCTAACTATATTTTTGCTTTACTCATAACAATAGTCTCGTCTTTTATGATATATTGTTATTTATATTGTTATTCTAAAAGATGAAACGGTAGAATTGATCATCTAAATAAAAAAAAAATTACAAACACCAATTTGAATCCATTCGGCGGCCTATACTTTTGGTTTTTACAGTTTCAGGGGTAGAGTGATAGTTTTTCAAAGATAATTATTAAAGTACGAGGGCGGGTCAATAAGTCCGTGACTTTTTGAATTTCTGACCTCTTTACTGAAAAAGCAACACTACTCCTGTCAACAGGCATCTGTCAGTTGACTCCTGTCAAAATTTGAACTTGCTGCGTCAGTTAGTTTGTGTTTGACAGCTATCTTTATCAGACTACCCAGTAATTTGAGGAAAAAATGGAAAAAAGTGAATTTCGTGTGCTTATTAAGCATTATTTTTTGCGAAAAAAAAAACATTACCGACACCAAGGCTAAGCTTGATAAATACTATGGGGACTCTGAACCATCGATTTCAATGGTAAAAAAGGAGGAGTTTTTGCGCCGTTTTGTAACCGTGGACGAAACATGGATCCATCACAACACACCAGAGACCAAACAACAGTCAAAACAGTGGGTTTCTAAGGGTGAATCGGCGCCAAAGAAGGCCAAGGTTGGTTTGTCAGCCAATAAAGTTATGGCGACTGTCTTTTGGGATGCACGCGGGATAATTCACATTGACTACCTTCAAAAGGGAAGAACAATCAATGGGGAATATTAAGCCAACTTATTGGACCGATTCAATGACGATTTGAAAAAAAACTGACCTCATTTGGCTAAGAAAAAAGTTCTTTTCCACCAAGACAATGCAGGGGTGCACACATGTGCAGTTGCCATGGCAAAAATCCATGAATTGGGCTATGAATTGCTCCCTCATCCGCCCTATTCTCCAGATTTAGCTCCGAGTGATTACTTCTTGTTCCCAAACCTGAAGAAATGGCTTGGTGGAAAAAGATTTGACTCCAATGATGAGTCATCTCGCAAACAAAGGCCTATTTTGAGGACCTCGACAAATCATATTTTTTGGAAGGGATAAAAAAATTGGAGAAGCGTTGGACAAAGTGTATAGAGCTCAAGGGAGACTACGTTAAAAAATAAAATGATTTATTTATCAAAAAATCTGTGTTTCATTCTAAAAGTCACGGACTTATTGACCCGCCCTCGTACAAATCTACCACGAATAGTGAGAGTTTAGTCAATCGTTAGATATGAAGTCATACCGCTTTGAACTATTGACACTATAGTAAAAAGTGACTTGATTACCATACCAACAAGGCGCTCATGAGATTAAATGCGTATTTTTATATTTTCTAGTTACTTAGTTAAAGGTTATTCAATGAAAATTACTAAATAAATATAAAAACTTACTTAGCAAATAATTATACGCTAAATTAAATATAATTATCAACTTGTTACTAAAGTAATAAAAACCGATAACCTTCAGTGATTAAAGTAAATACTAATTACATCCGGATGAAGAACATAATAATAATAATAACGTACAGACGAATGGATAACCTCCTCTTTTGTATTTTTGAAGTCGGTTAACAATATGGATCAAAACAAAATGTGATTCCTTCAGTATCATGATATTACTCCTTATATAAATAAACGAAATAGTAATTTAGGTTATATATTTAGATGCAAATTACTTTTTGATTTGTTCAAATCGGTCAATTTGTTTTGAAGTCATGATGAGCACTAAATAGCAAAGTAAAAATCATCGTAATATTGCAAACCGCTACGGAACAATGCATGTACGAGTATCTAGTCTAGTATAAATTGAAGTCGCTGGATGTTTCAAAGTATGGTTGTATGATGGTTTTCATCAATATACAGACTGATTCAAGAGGAAGGATATATGTATAATACATGCATATTATAGTAGAGAAACAACGAGAATTTCTAAATGTATTATACGGTGTCGTAAAAAATATTTTTTGTGTTTATAAAATATTATTTGCAAACGCTGCTGCCTAAACCTTTGGGGATATATCAAAATTATGAACTATGGAATTGTATACCTATTATAAAAAATAATAATATAGAAAAGTCAAAGATAGTATTTATGTATCTTCTAAGGAACCATTTATGTCTTTCATATTACAAAAATAATGAGTTTTTTAGAAGATTTTTAAATCATACAGTCTTATTATTTATCTAATTATACATTAGATGCGTTGTTCATTGAATGTAAATCAAAACCTTGCCTTTAAAGAATATCATTAAAATAAATATCTTAAAAGAAATCAGAGATTTAGAATGCTTAAGTAGAGCGGCCGTGAGGCCGTACGTCCGTGCCAGGCGCGGCTCTTACCAGAGTAACCTCTAAAGAAAGAATTTGTATTGTCTTATGATAACAGCTGTAAATGAAGATATTCTGTAGTATAATAATAATCAGGATGTCCGCTAACCGCTTTAGATTCAAGAAAAGAGTATAAGGTCTTCTTCAAAATGAGCTGGCAGAAAGGTCATTTATAAATTTATGTATGTATATGTTTATGTGTTGTACGTGTACACTTGGGAATAACATTTTGTTTTCTCTTGCACCTTTCTGTGCATTAGGTTATTCTTAATAAAAAATATTAAAATGGTGTGATGGTTTATGGATAAACGTATGCTTTTCAAAACAAGTTGTGTTGTCTTCAACCCACGATAGGTTATCGATACAAGCGCGTAAGAATTTACTATATATTTTTATTTGTACAAGATCTCACGTTGTTCTATATCTGACCATCATTCAGTAAGTTTAGACTATTGCCATTTTTTAATTAATTATTGTAACTTGGACTAGATTCCTTTTCTACATTTTCCGTACAGGACAGATCAGTATATACTAGACTTGCAACGAATATTCGGTTACTATTCGGTATTCGGCATATTCGGCTGCTTTTATTATATTCGGCCGAATACCGAATATCTACATATTATTCGGCCGAATACCGAATACTTAAATAATATATTTTGTCATTGAGAAATAATTGGTAAAATGAAAAATTAAAATCGATTGATTACGTATATATTCATATTTTCATTTCTGTTATAATCATTTAAGTAGTCATTGGTGCATAACACAGGTACATAATCATCTTCTGAATTGGAAAAATGGAGGATTCTATGTATTTGAATTATTGTGGTAATCAAAATTTAGAAGGGTAAGGTTCTCATTTCTTTTATAATCATTTATTAAGTAGTCATTGGTACATAAAACAGGTACATAATTTAATTCACGTCTGTACAAGTTTTTGGCGCTAAAATCCAGCCGAATACTTTTGCCTAATATTCGGCTATTCGGTCAGGGGCCTCGCCGAATATTCGGTATTCGGTATACTGCCGAATATACTATTCGTTGCAAGTCTAGTATATACCTATATGGATACCATCAAGTTTTTGTAGTCCTTTTCATATAATTTTTTTGAAAAAAAATGCGTTATGCGTTAAAAAAAATGTTAATATTATTAGAACGCTAAATAAAACAAAAATTATTTAAATGGAGTGACAATTGACAGCCTCATGGCGTAGTGGCTGTAACGGACTTCTATGTCAAAGGTCGCGGGTTCGATCCCGCCTTAGAGCATTAAGCCAATTTGATTTTAATGCTCCAAGATTTCCGCTCAAGTCTAACACTTGTGTGCATGAACATTTAATATTTTATGTGGGTGTTACTGTGTATAGTAAAATGTATTTATATCAGTTGTCTAGTACCCACAGTACAAGCTCCGCTCAGTTTGGTCTAGATGGCGTTGTCTCAATGTAGTAAAATATTGTTATTTTAAAAAAACAATACACTGAGTGCCACTTCGTCACTAGTTTCTCCAACTTTAAGACACAATCTTCCATTACATTTTCCATTCATATATCATTAATACTCCAGTTTTTGGACATGTTATTCGAAATTTGCCCAGTTTTCTACCAAACTTCTTTCAGTTTTAGCAAACACAAATCGCTCTTTATGCTGTGTCCCCTGTTCCCCCTGTTTCGAAGCGTTTAATTGCGGCCCAGGCTAATTTAATAGAATTTAAATCGCACATAATATATGAAGGTCGTCTTATAATGTCATAGCAATGTCGTATTTTTTTTATTATATTGTCAATTTTATAATTGATATCAACGGGTCTGTATTGCTCTATAATTTTAAATTACAATAATTAATCAAAACAATAATTGATTTTCCTTATTATTATTATTATTATCATCTGAATAGTAGTACACTAGTGGAATAAAGCGCTATTCTATTACACTACTTGTTCCACCACTTAAAAGTACTGCTCTATGGTCACGATTGTGGAAATCAATTAAGGGGTATAGTAATAAAATTGATTTTCACTTTGACTCTGTGGCAAAAGTTCAAAAATCAATCTGTTGAACTTTAGTTTTAAGAATGAATAATTGCTAGTTACATTATATTAGCTTACTGTCTGTATTTTCTGTAATATTTTAAATGCAGTGTTCACCTTCAAGTAATTGTAACATTAAGTTTTGTATTTTCGCATGCAACTTAGAATAAGTTTAAATGTTAACAATTGTTGGTAGACTTTAACTAATAAATAAATAAAGATCATCCAGTTATTAAAATTTGCAGATATTCGAATATCTAGATATCATGGGATAAGTACAGTTTTTTTTGTTTTAATTTGTACTTTACGTGTATTTCTGCCACTAAAAGATAAGAAACATAATTATGTCTATCACTGTTGTTTTGCGTGTTGGCTAAATGTTAGGGGCAGTCGTATTCACAAAACTTAAATAGGTATTTATTTGTTACATTTTTTTGTCAACAAATTAGGGAAATAAAAACACACAGTTTTCGAATTTCTTTGGTAGTATTTGTTGGTTATCAGTAATTACTAATCTAATTACACCACTAATACTAAATTTACACACTTACACGCTAAAAGTAATATAATTTAATATAATATAAATATAATGTAATTGGTGGGAAATGAATTTAAAGCACTATCTCCATGTTTCTTCTTATGACAAATATATATTATGTATCTTCCGAAAAAAAATGATATTAAATTGTATTCAGATTTAGAAGGGACCAAGTCATGACTCTTCTTACTTGTTTAGGTCTAACTATCCAATAGAAGTAAATAATGTTACTAAAATAAGTTTATATAAAAACATTTTCGTGTTTTAATTATACAATTTTAAAATGTTTTGCAGATTTTTCTTCCATAATTTTCGACAAAGTCAAACTCGTCTCAATGGTAGCATCCATGTAACCAGTAGCAATGGATGTGTAGAAAAAATATTAATTGTTAATTATAAAATATCAATAATACTAAGTACAGTCGATTTACTTTAACAACAAAAAACTACATTTAGGTGGCAGGTACATTAACGAGTCTATTGAGCTTTTTGTAGATACCGGTGATGCCACAATTAAAAGGAATGACATTTTTTTAAATATGTTAATCTATTCTTGTAATAAAAACTGTTAATCATGTTGTCAAAAAATTGTCTACATTAAATATTAACCCGTAATATTTTAGTCCTATGTGACTAGATATCATTTACGAATAAATTTTTTACCACGGTGACTACGTTAACAGATTGCAATTAATTCAGTCAGAGTGCAAGGATTTGTACAACATTTCTTTATGATATTTTCTTTGTATTCCTCTTGTAGTTCTAGCGCCATAGGTGGCATATAGTCTGAAAAGAAAACACATTATTTAATAGCGATGATGGTAGTAATTATAAGTCAATTGGTAACTTAACTACAGAAAACGTTTATTAAGGCCTGTGTTAGCCTTTTAAACGTTTTTAGATTATAGGTACAAATTAGGCTAATAATATAACAGTTGTTGGTATTTGTTTTTTTATGTTAGAGGGAGCAGACGAGCAGACGGGTCAACTGATGAAAAGTGACCATCGCCGCCCATGAACGTACGGAAGAAGTACGTTTTTTTCTTTACCTTTTGAAGGTTTGAAGGGCGTATCGGTCCGGAAATACCGCAGACAATAACCCGTTCCACAGATTGGTTGGTGTGGTGGATATTAATATACGAAAGAAATAAGATGCAATACATTTAAATATTTTTTTGTACTGTCATTACAGAACTCAGCTTGTGAATGCAAACAATGATGAAATCGTGGTTTCTTAAATTTACGCTATGTTAATTGAATAAAATTTAGTAAATTTTCTGCTTGATGGCATCAAATAAAAACACTTTTAAAAAAAGGGTACGATCCCCTATTATCAAAATGACCACTAATCTAATAAATATAGTGCTAAACTGTTTTAATGTTCTATAAACCTGCTATAAATATAGTGTAAGAAAGCTATACCCATCAAAAAGTTCGTGTAAACAATATTTGTGATACGACATTTCCCTGACCAACATAATATAACGTCAATGGACTGTCTTAAACTAAGTCTATTGCAATACAAATAAGACTGACTCCTCTGTGAACACCTTTTTATAAGAGTATTATTAAGTACATCAGAAGTAATTACTTACCGGAAGAATAATCTCCATATGTAGGGCACAAATCGTTCATCACAGCAAATGTTAGCAATCTCTTGCACGCCGGTAGAGACATATCGAGATACGCTGATGTCAATATGTGGGATGAAGCAATCTTCTGGCTGTACACGACCATTAGGACGAGAAGGAAGTATTTGATTTGCATTTTCGCTTAATCTGTAAATGGAGAAAAGGAATGAAAAGTTAAGAATAATGATGGCTACAAAAGTGATAAAACAAAAGAATTTAAATCTATTCCAAAAGTGTATAATAAGTAAAGAGTAATAGTTTACCTCTTTAGAATTTTCCGGTGATAAAGAAAAGCACGTTAATTCACTTCGGAGATGTTCCCGCATCTAATGGTCGGAAAATAGATAGCACCAGTCTTTATATACTCAAACCATTCAAGGTAAACAAGTCCCTAATAATATTCTAGGTGCGTAAACAATTTTCTTGCGCGAGAACTTATAAACTGATTTCTTTTCTAATAAAATTTTGGTTATATTCAGGAGTAACTAATTTAATTCCGTCACGGGCGAAGGGCTGAACAAACTTGAATGAGTCTGTGAGCAGCGTACCGAAATTGAATGGTAAACATGTTATTATACATAACCCGAACACAGTTTATCAAAAATGACCTATGTATCAGTATTTAAATTTGTTGTAACTTAAGGTTAGTTGCTGTTTTTATCCACGTGGCTCGAATAGGTTTGATTCGAAAGCATTTTGCAGGTCTCTTCTTTTATATTTATTAAATTTTAATTCAAACATGTTCACTATGTAATCTAGGCTTTATTGTTCAATTGTTGTATACTTATCTGTAATTTAAAAGTGTTATTGATTAAGTTGTTATTTCGATGTTAATTAGATAGGTGATTGGGTACATATTTCAACATTAAGTAGATCACATAAACAAGTCAACCACCTATAAATTGATAATTGTATCTCTTTATTTTTTTTAGATTTGACTAATTTTACATTTTTTACCGACATGAAAGATATCTATGTCATAAAACTTAAATATTTTAAAGCTAAGGGCTTAAAGCTGTAAAGTTATGGTCCGACATAAGTACCTATTTATTTTAGTGAATAGTTATGAAGTTAGTAAACATGGATTTGTAAAAATAGTGTTATCCGATTGTATTTTAAAAGCAAACAAAGTTTTATTGATTTATGTTATTGTGGCTTTGATTAAGACCTTGCTTTTATATCCGAAATGATTTTTTTTGGTGCAGACTAATTTAGTCCTAATTTTTTGTGAATTAATTAGCTTAAATGTTTTTTGCTTACGATTCTGCTATGTTATATTTAAACATCTTGTTGCTGCCCGCTTTTATCAGATGTTAGACCCTCAAACAACATTTATCTGTGAGTGAACCTAAATAAAGCATTATAGGTCAAATCAAAGAAGGTAAACAGTTTATTTTTAACTTGATGTCGAGGCCCAATGTTTGCGGATGTGTGGCTAATCGCAGTGCAAGTCGACGTTCTACTTTATTGAAGTCAAAACATTAGGGGCAGAATAATATTCGTATTTTGTTGTCGTAATGGGAAGTGGCAGTCAGAAGGCCAATTCTCGTAATAAAAGTTCGGTTTCAATTCAGTTCCGATCAACTTTCGATCTCACAACTGTCAAAAAAGGTATTTTCGGTTGAGACCGAACTTTTATTACGAGAATTGGCCTTCTGTAAGTTTTTTTTGCTTTAAAATTCCTTTGCCTGTCAGTGCTCAACGTATTACCGTACACCACAGGTGGATTTTTTTGTTACGATATAGGGATGGATGATTGATGGAAAGTGACTACCGCCGCCCATGAACACCATCAACTCAGGAGTCATAAATCCACTGCTGGTATTGAAAGTGCGAGTACAATCTTTTCTTAAAGGTTCGGAGATCGTTTTGGTCTAGAAATACCGCAGACGACAAATTTGTTTAATATTTTTATAGTAGGAGAGCCATGCTTCGATACAAATGGGCCGGCTCGACCGAAGTCGATGCAAAAAAACCGGTGTTAAGAAACTCTTTCGGTGCTATTAACAGAATAAATGAGTTTATCCAAGCCTCAAACCGTCCCTACCGTTTTTGCGGTTGCTCAATTTGGGGACGTTTACCTAAGGGCCTGTCCTAATGCTCTTAAACTCTTTCTATTTACTCTATTTTCTCTTCTTACTAATTGTTAAAGGCAGTCATCATTTAATAAGACAGTTTTTTCAAATAGACACCGACTCTACCCATGATCGTCGTTATAGGTTAATGACGTATCTGGTTGTTGTAAGCCATTATAAGTTACTTTTTAAGGCTTTCTAGAACAATTTTGATATGAGTATTTCTACATCTTCTTCACCTTGTAACTTCAATATAAGAATTTCTACATCTTCTTTATCTTGTAAGTTAATATGGACTTCCATAAAATGTTTCCGAGATAACATGGGAGGCAAACCAAGTGTCCTAGCTAGATATTTACCTACGCTGAAGAGTTTTGTCGCCTCGCATACTATTATTAATATTCTTTTAGAAGAGTATGAATTATTATATATTTAATCAATACAAAATATAACTTCCTTGTTTATGATACTTTACCCTTTTGCTATAACCCAGGCAATCAAAATTGAACGTAAATAGAATCTTGATATAATTATTAAATAAGAGAAAAATATTCAGTGGCTATTTTCCCATTTTATATTAGGCAGATTTCTGTGACATAAGCGACTAAATTTTTATAGGCACACGGACCACACACATCGGACCTTTGAAAGCTTATATCTATATCCAAAAAAATATGTTATATTGCAGTTGAGTAGAATTGATAATGATACGAGTAATCTAGCTTATTGTTTTTTCTTCCTGCGAGCGGCCCTAGACAAAAATGTAGACCCTACAATTGTGGGGCGCAATCAACAGTTCGAAAACTACTGAATTTGGTGTTTTTTAAAAAGTTTTCTTTTGTTTTTCCGAATTATTTAGAGTTCACTGAAAATTTCTTGCAGACGAATTCTTAAATAATTTTAGGTAGGTTGCAAGTTAGTCTAGGTTTGTGAAACAATTTTTCGACGGTTTTAGAAGAGCCGTCGATCAATTTACAAAAGAGATATTTTATTTTCTGAGGGTGCTATTGGCAGAAGATTTAAGTGTCATCTCTATCTCAATATGTTAAACAATATGGCGCAATGGGTTCAATTTGGGTTCAATTCCCACATGAGATAAATATTTTTACGAGTATGTTGTTATTTTCCAACTTTGCCGACTTATTCGCTACGTACATTTTTTGGGTTCGCCGACAAAAAGTGCTGTTTTAATTATTATCGTGATTTACACATGTAAAATCTAATTGATCCGTTGTCTCTAGTCTAAATTGTCCGTTATATGCACAGAACAGTGAATAAACTAGTAATGCAATGTAGGCGGGGCAGGCGCGCCGCAGTTACGAGCAAACGTGCATAAATCTCTGAAAACATTAGTACCCGCGTATTACTTTCGCCGCTTACTCTATAAAAAAATATCGCTATGCTGAATTGCGCGATAATTGCCTGTCGAAAATAAAGCCAGGACTAGAATTTGTCCAAAGCCAACATATCATATTATCGGTAGGTCTAAAAACCTTTCTTTTTAAGTAATATTGATAAAAATTACAAAGTAATATGTAATACAAGATTAAAAATCGTTATGATCTAATCTATTTAAGCAATCATACACTGCGTATCGAGTTCTAACTACATTGTAACCAAGAGAGCATTCAATGAACTGCATTCATGCAGGAAAATTTCGATACATTTTGCGCGAAAGTATTTAGTAAAGTCACAGTTGGACGTAGTTACACAAAAAGGATCCAATCCACAAAACTACCAAAATTGAGTTAAGTATGCCAAAAAGTCCGTGAAGGTCGATACTTTAATGCAGTAAAAAGAAAGAAGAGTGTCATTGTTATCAACACAAGGTACCAGTCCACATGTATGGCGGGCATTTGTTTTGAAGCAACTAAAACAATCCAATCTTCATGGATCATTAATAAGAAAAAGTGTTTATTGGTACTTATTTAAAATATATAATCTTAAAAGAGATCCAATTCACGTGGATCATTTCTGATAATTATAATTATTAATAAAATCTATACATAGTAAATCACACAAACGATCCAAAACACTTGGAACCTTTCTGATGAACATTATCAATAACTCATAAAATAGTTTGAAAAACATAAAAAGAATCCAAGCCACAAGAGTTAAAAAATTGACAAAGAATTGATAATGACATACCACGCATACTCACGACCATTAATACCAATGCTGAAGTTATAAATAACAGTGATATTATAGAATGTAAATCGAATAATGAAACTCGAAATGATGCTACTACACAACAAGAAATAGAGAATTTATCTTCAGAAGGTCGATCAAAAAAGGGTAGAAAACGAATATATCTAAATCACACTGTTGCTAAAACTAAACAACGGAGATATTAAAACTTACCATATTATTCAAAGAAAAAATATATTCCGCCAAAAAAATTTCAAGATTTTACCTGTAATTGTATCAAACCGTAAATGTAACCAGTTAAAACTAGAAAAAAGAGTAGAAGAATTCCAAAAATTTGTTTTATTGGGCTCTTATGAAGCCCAATTATTATATATAGTAAATAATGTAGAAGAAAGACCCAAAACAAGATCTTATACAGTCACTAAAGAAAATAAAACAAATAAGAAAAGATCCAGAGAATACTCAAGAAAATACACTATATGTGGGGTTGAAGTTTGTAAACCCATGTTTTTGAAAAATTTTCAAATAACAACTAAAAAATTGATGTTTCTCTACGAAAAAATCGAAATGGGTACATGATTAAAGACAGAAGAGGACTTTCAGAAGGACTCAGCCAATAGATATTGAGTTCGTTAAGGATATCATAAGCTCATTACCGAATTATCAATCGCATTATAGAAGAGAACAAAGTAATGGTGTTATGTATTTGGAATTAAGAATGGCGATACAAAAAATATATGATTTATACTTGGAAAAATTTGGGAATGTATACGGCAGTTCGAAGAGTCCATTGTCATTGGATACAGTAAAACGCATATTTTATAAATATTTTAATTTACGCTGCAAGAAACTAAAAAAAGAAACTTGCACAAGGTGTGATACTTTCACTAATAAAAAAAAAAAAACTTTGTTA